CCTGTGTTGATGCCCGCTCAGTGGTGTGCGGTCTGAAGTGGCTTCCTGAGTCGGTGTCGGTCTTGAGTGGGTGCAGCATAAAAGCCCCGCTATTTTTACCGCGGGGCTAACCGGAGCTGTCTGTAGCTGGGTGCTGTGTAACATCCTTAAACGGAGTTGTGCAGCAGGTCCAGTAAAGGGTGCCTGGCCCCTGCAGACCCCCAGGCCGCGCTTCGCAAGGCGCCAACCCCGAGTGAGCGCGGCTCGGCCTCCCCGGTACCCCGCAGGCCGGCATGTGGTCTTGGCTGCTGCTGGCAGCGCTCTTGGGTGCCATCTGTTTGCCCAGCGTACACATTTGGCCAGCAGGTTATTTTAATCGCTACAAACGCATATAGCTTCCTGAAAACTCCCAGCGTGGAGCTGGAATTTTCAGTTTTACTGTGTGCTGTATTTCTTGTAATTTGTCATCCGCTAGTGTGATGTCTTATTGGATCCGTACTGAGTAATTATCGTCTGCATACATTCTCGGAGCCAGTCAGGATAGTCTAAGGTGGTGTCAGATTGGTCGTATCACTGCCTTCAGTGCAGAAGAGTTCGAGTTTATATAGTTTTCCGTTTGGAAAGCGCTGTGGGTCTGATTAGTTTGTCTTTTTTTCTCCTTTCCTACAAGTGGGTTGAACTATAGTGGTAGGACCAGGAGCTCCTTCCTTTAGTTAGAAGTATGGTGTTAAGATGTTGCAGTGAAAGCCCCCATGAAAAGAGTATTGCTTATGTTTAAGCCGGAGAAAAAAGGCTAATATTTTGCTCATTGATACATCACCAGAAGGCATTTGGTGCCTTGAAACTTCCGGTCCTTTTCTGAATCTGAAGCATTGGATTATAATTCAGTCACTACTGTTATGGTCGCCACAGTGTCGTTATTAAATGCTGGTAAATCAGAGCTAAAAAAAAGTAGAAGGGTGTGGTGGAACAGTATTATTAGAGCTTATATCTTATTAATATTACATTTCCAATAATTTAGATGCTAACGATATTTTTTTTTTTACTAAATTATGCTTTTACAGATGGCTGTCCTCACGTGCTTTTATCTGTCCAGTAACTTGTCTTAATTTGACATACAGAATATTTGAGAAGATTGATTAACGCTTTCTACTCTGTGACAAATAGGAAAAAAAGTTTGCAATGTGAACAATGTTTGATAGCCTGTGTGGAATACTTAATTCCACCTTGACTATAAATAAATAAATAAATAAATACATAAATTTACCTTCTAAGTGTACTGACAAATGTTCCTATTTAGTCTGAGGAATTACTTAACCCTTAATAGCTATGTCAAAGTATAGTATTTAGAGATTCAGCTTGGAAGTTAGTAGTGGTTTTCTATGTGGGTACTAAAGTATAACAAAGCTTTATGCCTGAAAAGTGGTTACTGAATTTTACTGGGATGTATATATCTGGTATGCAATAGCAAAAATATTTAGGCAATCAAATTTTATTATGTATGATGAGAATTGAGACTTTTAAATTCTTTTAAACTCTGAAGTAGCAGAGAAGCTCACAAGTAGTTCTGTATGTTTCTCTTGATGGTGAGTCAGGGAGTGTCCAAGGCTTTTGGGCAGACCTTGACCATACAAAGCCAAATCTTAAGATGAAAACAAGATTTTTACAACAGTCAGTGCTTAATGATCATGGATTTTGTTTCTTGATATACCTGTTAGCGTGGGGAGGAAAAAAAATACAGATCACTTTTTTTTTGATGTCTGGGGTTTTTTTCCCCAGCCCTTTACTCATTCAGCTTTACTTGCACAGTTAGTGCGTGTCATAAGACATAGGGTTTTTAGCTACACATTAAAGATGTGCAAATGCTATACAATATCCAAGAACATTTCCATGTTTTGGGTATGTGTCTTGAATTGGCACTGTAATGCAAGATAGTTATATATTGAAAAAAGTTTATATATTTTTTCCTTTTTCTTACTTTAGAGAGAAATTTATCACATAAAAGAAATGATTGAGTCAGTCAAATTAAGAAGACAGTGCATGCTGGATTTCTACTCATATTATGAACATCTTTGTGAACTTCAAGGCTCTCTCCCACTGAAATCTGTGAAGGCTAACATGACTCGTGGTGCTGTTAATCTAATAGTAGATCACATTAAAGCTACTGATTGGGCACCACTTCTTAATGCGCTCAGGCATAATAAGACTCTGACTTCCATTGGAATAAGAAGTTTACATCACCACAGTCTTGAAGAATCAGGTCTGTATAAAAGATAAGTATGTTGGTGTATGCATGTTAGAATTCATTGCATAAAACTTCTGTGTGATTGAATACATGGGGGGAAGAATTGTTACGCCTGAGGAATTATTTTAATTTAAGAAAGTACACAAAAAAAGGAAGGTATGATTATAATTGCTTTTAAGCCAATAGGGACTAGATTTTACTGATGTGTACTTTTTGTTTTTCAGTAGGTGTTGAAAGATACAAAACTCATTTTAAAAGGAGAATTCCAGCAACTCTATCAAAAGACTTGACTGGCCAACTATGCAAAGCTGTGAAAGGCTGTCTCAGTATATCAGATGTACTAAAAAATTTAGACCTACAGGGTTTGCTTCTGAGGGAAAGAGATCTAGCACTTTTAACAAAGGTAAGGATATAATAATATACAAATAAGTGGAATATATGCCCAGAACACAGAACAGTAGCGAGTAATCTTTGTAAGTATTTGTTGCAGACAAGCATATTTCTGTTCTAAGGTATCTTTGTGTAGTCTTTACATATATATATATATAGAAGGATTCTGCTGAGACATTTATTGTAACCTAGTCCTAACTGAGTGTCTCAGAATCCCAAGGCTTGTTAGAAAGATCTTAACAACATCCCTGCCACGTGCTTGAGGCATATGACATATGTTCATGACTGAAACCACCGTGTGTGTTTGTGATAGAAGGGAAGTTGTGGGACACCAAGGAGATAAAAACTGGTCTTCAGATGTGTTACTGAAAAGCTCCAATTTGCTTGTGAGTGGTTTCTGGGAAGGGAGGTTGCTGATGGTTGCCCACAGGCAAGCTTCCTCTGTGCTAAAGAAATGAACACACTTAACTGATCTTTTGCTTGTTTTGACCTTCATCTGAATCACCTGGAGTTTTTTGTAAGGAACAGACTTGGGTGACTTGGTGTTTTTTGTTTTTTTTTTCTTTTCAAGCTGGTTAACAACATTGTTTGTTTTATTCTTAAGGGCTTGGCCACAGCTTCATCCCTGGAGAGTGTCTCTTTAGCCCACTGTCCAATTGGAGATGGAGGGTTGGAAAGTAAGTTCACAATCAAAACCTATAAATATACTTTGATCTTGTTAAGTTCCCAAATAGATAAGCAAATTTCTCAGTATTTCCGTTCCTGTTTTAAATTTATCCATGAAAATGAAAAGGACAGTCTTCACTTTATTCTGCATAATGCAGTAGCATTTAAAGACTTGAGTTTCTTCACGTCAGGCTAGTAAATAGCTATACTACTTTATAGTGATGTTTATGCTTTTAAATAAAACAGCATTCTTACTTCTTTATTCTTACCTGATTTTCATAAGTTTCTGTAAGTAAACTGAAATCATTATGTTATAGCTCGTTCAGATATTCTTTGCTGAAAACTTTCTAGAACATTCCTGAGTATATACTAGAAATGTATAAACTTAGAATACATTTAAGTGTATTTAAAATATACTCTGTATTTCAGCACTAGTTCTTTGTCAAAGCTTTTGGCTGTTAAAGCTGCCTCTTAATAGGCCACTGAAAAAGTGTGTTCTAGTAATATGAATAATATGAAATTGTGTGTAGATAACATGCATGCTTTTGTTTTCTTCAGAAATCTGTCAGAGTATAAAGAATACAGCTACTATCAGATTTGTAAACTTCACGGCATGTAGCCTCACATGGCGAGGGGCAGAACATATAGCAAATTTATTAAAGGTAATGCAATCAGCTTTCTTAGAACGGAGTGTTTGTAAGAACTTAATAAATTTAGTTTTTTACTTTTGTGTTAAAGCCCAGAATCCATTAAGGCACTTAATGAGGAGCTGATCTGAATACCAAAATTAAGTGTACATTCTAACAAAAGCTGTGCCTTTGTATGACAAAAGTAGCTTAGTTTACTGGTGTGGGATTTAAATTCACTATTTCTTAGAAGAAAACATAAATAATGGAGTAAAGTGTTTTCTTTAAATGAGGACTAGGCTTGTAAATGTCTGACACCTGTTTTGGGGGTGCTTCTTTCATTAGTGCTAATTTTGAAAAAAATATCTCAAGTATTCTTAAGCACTGGGTAAGAATAGTCAAGTTTACAGTTTAGAAGCTACTGACTAATTGATCATTAGTCTTCTGCTTAGTGCTATGTTTTAAATAGCGTTAATTGTGATTCCACATAATTTTGTAGTATGTATTTATTTCAGTGTGCCTTGAAAGTGTCTGTCAAAAGAAAGTAATAAATGCTTTGTAGCCAAGTTTAATAATTGGCATTACAAACTGGGCAGTCACAACAAATGAGTTACTGGTAAGGTTTGAGAATTAGTTATGTTCCCTGAAATCAGGAATGGTGTACTTATACCAGCATATATTTCTTATACCAGCATTCAAGCCACTTGATTTAAGAGAGGTAACTTGTGATCATGTCATCAGTTATGGCGTTGCCATTGCAATTAACAGCTTCTTTGTTTGCAAAGCACCAGGCAATAAGAAGACACGGTGAAGCTTGGGCTGAAAGCCTACGTTACAGGAGACCTGACCTTGAATATATGTCAGGTTTGAGGAGGATTACTTTGAACTGCAACATGCTTGTTGGAGATAGAGGAGCAAGTATCTTGGCAGAGTGTCTAGGAGAGGACCTTTGGCTAAAAGGTATTACAAAGTCCTTTCACTAACGAATAGCAGAGTAATTCAGGAGCTTCCTTATATTATAAGCAATTATAAACATATTGATGTACACATATTGAGATATTCCATATAGCATAGAACTTTGCCTACACCAGCAAATTCTCTGTATACTTCATGTCTGGATATTACTAGTTGCTGTAATGATTTCTGCAAGATCTCCGTATTTCTATATCCCTACTACTGTCTCTTATGCTACTGCATCTCTTAAAATATGATAGTGTCAGGCAGAAGACTTAAAACTGACAGTTGTAACAGTTTTAGCCAGAGGAGTAACTCACTTTGTAGCTTGGAAAGAGTACAATTTTTTCCAAAGAAATCTCTTCCTCTTTATAAATACCTGAATACTGTTGTATATCTAATATTGTCCTTCATTATTTTTGAGAATGAATTTGTTCTACAGTATATCTGTTATTATATCTAGTAATTATACAAAGTTACTAGTGGTGCTGATGTAAATCATAGCATTCTGTATGTGGAATAAAATACCTGTTTTATAGTTTGAGGCAGGTCTACAGATAACATCCATAGTAATGGAAGAGGATCAGATTAGGGAATAGTTAAACTGTACAAACAGCAGTCCATAGACCTTAATGGGATGCATTTACAAGTGCTGAGGGAGCTGGCTGATGTTATTTTGAGGCCACTCTCCGTAGTCTTTGAAAGATCACAGTGATTGGGAAGGGGGTGCCTGAGAACTGGAGGAGGATAGCTAGTGTCATGCCTATTTTCAAGAAGTTTGTGAAGAAGGATCCAGGAAACTACAGACCAGTCAGTCTTGCTTGGATCCCTGGAAAGGCAAGGATGTGCTGCCATCCAGAGGGACCTCATCAGGCTGGAGAACTGAGCTGGTGGGAACCTCATGCAGTTTGAGAAAAGGAAATGCAAAGTCCTGCAGTTGGACACTAGAAAATGCTGGGGCTGTGTGGCTGGAAAGCTCTCATGGTTCATGTTCTATGAAATGGGTTTTCAGCAGGATTAATTTTTTTATGTATCAACTATTAAATTTAATTACTAGCTAAATGCAGTACTACCTCCACTGATTTTTTTTTTTTGCCTCCTTAAACATTTTAGCACTTGATTTGCAGCAGTGTGGAATATCCAATGAGGGAGCCAGGTCATTATTAGCTGCTCTTCAAGCTAATACAACATTAGTGGTACTTGACATAAGAAAAAATCCATTAATTGGTATGTATCTGTGTCTGCATTTATTCTCCTTGTTTGTTGGGTTTTTTTTTTCTTCAGTTACTATATGGGGAAATGTAAACTGCTTTTAAAAAAAATGAACATGCCACAGTAATTTGCTAAATGTTTTTTAAATTGGTAAACAAGCAGGATAGGTAATGTGTACTTACTGCTCAGTGATCTGTTGGTTCACATAAAGAGTTGTCTTTTACAGAAAATTCCTGATAAAGTGTTTTAATTTATTTTAGGTCATGTTCTGGTGAAAAAAATTATTGAAAGAGCTCTTAAGAATGGAAACAGTGCTGATTCAGAGGTATGCTTTACACATTTTGAAATGAGTTTGGGGTTTTCTTTGTAACTTCCATTGCAATTTTTTTTAAAGGGTGACTTCTTCCAAAATGAATCTAGAACAGCTATTCTAGTTCTGAACAGAACTTTGACTCAGTATAAATAAAAAAAACACTGTTTAGGTGAAAACCTAAAATAACTATGATGAACATGTTACTGTATTGGGCTTTCTGTATGATTTCTTATGGAAAAGCTGTCAGATGTAATAAAATCTGGATATACATTTAATAGAAAGAAAAATGGAAATGTGTGTGTATTTGAGCATTACCATAGAAGGTTAACTAAATATTGCTCCAGGACTGCTGTAGGGCTTTCTACTACATGTGTCCTTGTCAACATGGTAATAATAACTTCTAATTAAAAAGTAAACTGCAATTTAAAATTTAGCACTTTATTGATTTTAAGACGTATTTCTTGTCTTTAACTTCCGTAACTAATTTTTTTTCTACGTTGCTCAAGACTGTCCTTTCCAATGCAGGCTGTCTATAAGAACAGAGTTCAGTTAAAGTACAGTACCCCCTTTCACCTTTGTCTAACAGGCCACACAGAGTTCACAGTAATGTGCATAAACTGAATATCTAGACATTTATGATTATGTATATGGTTGAAATGTACAGAAATCTGATTCGGTTCTCAAAGCAGTCCCAGCAATCCCCGTTCTTGTGTTGGAATTTAATGCTCTTTTGGGTTTTGAAAAGATTAAATAAAGACAGAGCTGTGGATGTGTAGGGACACTCTAATAAACTGAAAATTTGTGTATAGAATTTCTGGAGGATTAAGATAGTTCCCCATTTCAATCTCTAGAAGACCTTATTTGAGAAGTTAATGCTGGTTATGAAGAAGTACTCTTTCTGCTTGGCAGATGCAGTCAAAACTTGGAAAATGTCATAGGGATTACATGAAAATAACATCTGCATGGAAGCGTTAAAGATAATTGGAAAGTGACACAATGGAAAGAAGCAACTCTGGGAAATACGCTAAAAGATCACTTGACTCAAGACATTAGTTTTATATTCAACCAGTTAGTGTGGTATCTTAAGTTTTATTGGCAGTGCTAGAATTCTTCATACTTCATTAACGACATGGATGAAGAAATATCGGCCACTGCATTTCTAAGTAGCTTTGCTTCTGCCAGTCACAGCTGTCTTTCCTTCCATCCTGCTTTGTGCAAAAAGCGGTTGGTTGTTTTTGAGTAGCATGTAGTTGATTCCCTTCTTAGCTGTTCTTTTAGGTTTTCAAGAAGAATTGTCTACTGCTAATTGATGCCGTTGCTAAAACAAAAGCTACATATTTTAGCAGCTCTATGTAGCAGTATAGTGAACTGTAATTATAGATATGACAAAGTGCAATAGGTGGTAAAAGTTTGTGTAGTTTCTGAGAGACTGAATAAGATAAGGGAAAATCCGTTGAAAGTGTCTATAAAACAGGATGCTTTAAAAATACTGTTTTTGTATTTTGGTGTCTTTATACTTGGATGGTTAGATGTTGTCCAGGAACAGTAGTAGGCATCCAGATGAGACAGGCTATGGCTAGATGAACTTTAGGTTTAACCTAGTAAAGCTGCCCTTTTAGGTGTCTCATAAAACAAAATTAAAACGACTTCTGATTGTAGAAGCTTGCAATTTAATTTTGCTCTTTCTGGGTGTGTTTTAGTTTAAAAGGATGCACAGAGACTAGATCCAGCTGGAGACACAGCAAAATTTGTACAAGGATTAGTTGAGTCCGAAGTGAAAAGAGAAAGTTTTTATTGACAATGATAAATCTGGGTTAAACTTGGTTGGTTAGAGCACAGTAGTGGCATTTTGATCATTCTGATGCTTTAGATGGAAATAGCTCTGTAATAGTTCCTAGTTAGTCTTATGTTGTGGGATGTAGGGCTTTGTGAGACAAGTTTTGTGTTAATGTCATCTGTATTTTCTTCAGTGATTACTTCAGCACTAGACCCTGTATTAGTGATACACACTGAAGGGTAAGTGCAGGGTAATTTTAGAATATCTGCCAGGAGTAATTAAACTTTTTATCAGGGCAAGGGGAGCCTTTAGGAATAGAGCTGTTGCTGTAAGGAAATGAAGTTTGAAGTACAGTTGTGGCCTTTGATCACCACTGTCTCTTAGTTTTAGTTCTGGGCTTTTACTTTTTAAGGTGAATTTTCATTACAGACAGTAAAAATAAATTTCAGTTTTTTAAAAAAATTGACTTTATCAGTAATACAAAATCACATTAGGGAAGCTTTTATTACTCTGGAGAACTTTGGCCTGAGCCGGTCATTCCTATCAAGCCAGTTTTCTGAGAATGAGGTACAGAAGCCAAAACTGCCTCCTTCATAGGGTTGGTGCTGGAGGTTTTTTGCTGTAGGAGAACTGTTTTGCACAGAAGAAAGGATAATATTGGATGGGATATTGTAGTGGTGTTATGGGAACACTTTCTGGTAATGTAGACTAACCATCTGTGTTCTAATGTGGGCTTTGCGAGACTTCTGTTTTTTCTTAATTTTACAGCGTATAAAGTTTTCTGTAAGTGGCAGTGTTCTCCATATCTGACAAGCTACTTCTTACTTTAAATAAGCACCTCTTCAACTGTCAGTTACTAAACTGATTTCTTTGTCTTTAAAAAAACCCAACAAATTCCAGTTTAAGTGGCTGATGTCTCCATCTTCCAAAGATGCTTTGAAAACTAAGCCAAAGAAAAGAACTATTGTCCTAGGAAGTGGTCGGAAAGGAAAAGCTACTATTCGTATTGGTAATTCTTTGTTTTTTCTGGCTATAGTAAATTTTGTCTTGAAAATTTTATCTTAATGCAGAAGAACTTAAATTAAAAAATGTATGATGTGTCTTAATGTTAGTATTTTATAGAACGCTTGTCTCCAAAAAAAAAATCAATTTCTTTTAATTATATACTGCATTTTCTGTCATCATTGGTATATGTAGGAAGCTCACTTTTGTTTTTAGAGCTGCTAGATATATGGCTGGAAAAACGGTAGGATATGCTGGCTTTAAAATGTGTGGAAGCATTGCATGTATTTGTTCTGTGTCTCCACAAGTTTTCACTTCTGAGAAGCCTGGCAGTAGTGAGTTGTCATGTTCTCCTACTATTGGAACCTTTCTCTGTAGCAGGCTGTCCTCTGCCAGAACAAACATACATTTTTAAACAAAATGTACAAAACGTTCTAAGATTTTAAAACTTCATGTAAACCTAATATAAATAGTATGTTTAAAGTAAAATAGGTATCTTGAATATTTATAATTAAGTAGTGATAGCTCCAATACTAAGCGCTTTTCAGTAAGCTGCTAAAAAATTTCACTTGGTACATTTCACTGTCTCTCGTCTTCGCTTTAGTTATCTGGAAGCAGAGAGGTAAGCATGAACCAAAAGAAATCTTTGTACAAACAAATGTTGGTGATCAGGGTGGTGGGGATAAAAAAAAATGCCTGGCAAATGTGGAGGGCTTTGTGGTTTTTTGTTTGGCTTTTTTTTCTGTTTTGAGGTTGTTCATTGTGTGTGGGTTTTGTATGTGTTTTAGGGTTTTTTTCAAGAGAAGGAGGGAGTCAAGGTGAAAACTATCCTGTGTTCATTGTGTTCAGAATTAATTGAGATTTTGAATCTCATTAATTAAGTTATGCATTTCTATACCATTACAAAATCAGTTATTTTATTGATGTCAGAGAAACAATAACCTGTGTTCTCACTAGTTTAACTGTGGGAAATATAAGGTAATTAGTTTTCTAGACTTAACAGTTTCTGGCTTTGAGAGAATGTGAGGTAGAGTGATCATCCAAATTAGGTTTCTTTGCTGAGTCTACTTTGATGCTATATGATTTAAGCAAAAACAAAAAGATCAGACTAGTGATTTTCTTATTAGAAAATAAACATTTTCTTATTAGTGAAGAGAGGAGATTGCTGGTGTCATGTCCTGTAAAAGCGATCTGAATGAGTACTGACTTTATTTTTAGTTATTTTTCCCATAAATAAAATAATGTTCTTTGCTGTAAAGCCACTAGAGGGCAATTTGAAGCACACTTCTGTTGTCAGTGTGGATGGTCTAAATTCTGACTTGAGACAATGGAATTAGGTGTCTGAAGTTAGTAATGTGAATAAACCTCTTCTGCTACAAAACTTTGTCTCTTTTGAAAACCAGCTTGTCTTGCATCAGCCTAACAGCAGTTAAGTATACCAGTTTATAATCAGAACTTTTTGGACACTTAAGCAAAATTAGACTGAATGGCAGATTTCCTACAGTCCTTTTTATTACATTGGAAATTTTATGAACAGGAGGCTGTGAATTTGTATGTGAATAATAAGGTATAATGAATTCTCTTTTCTTCTGATCTTGCTCTTCAATACAGGATCATCATCTAAAAAATCTGTAAATCCTGGGAAAAAAAATTCCACTGTGAGAGAGAGTTACTCACCAAAACCACTACCACCAGGCACAAAGGGCTTCCTTCCGTGGCGGACTGCAGAACGTGCAAAGAGATGCAGGTGAGGTTTTCATAGTAGAAGGGAAAACAGTAAACTTGAATGACAAATACATAGAGAGCAATGTTAGCTTTGTAAAATAGGATTTGAAATTTGCATACAAAATGTCATTATTGTTTTTTCTGTTCGTATAAATTTTGAGGATTTTACATAGATTCTTCTCTGGCAAGTATTTAAAATGAACAAAAAACCATGGTAGCCGTAGAGGTATTTATATGCAACGAAAAAAACCTCACCACAACCAAACCTACCTTGTTTTACTTATAACAAGATAATTAATAATATCTGCTATTATATATTATTAATTATTAATGTATTAAACAAATATGAATTATTGATATATAATTATAGCTCATATAATACAACTATATAATTGCATATTATAATAAAAATATATAGTTGCTATTGTAATAACAGAAATAAACACTACTATTGTTAATAATAATTTATCAGTTGTATCATAGCTGAAGAGGCAAGTAAGCATTCTAAATTTGTAGTATAGTTGCTTTGAGATATCCAGTTCAAGGTGTTTAGGTATTTTCCTGCCTCTTTTTTCTGTTTCACCTTCCCCAATACCAGCTCAATTATTGTGATCATCTAAGACCTGTAAGTTAAAACTGAAACAAACTTACACATGGAAGCTGTCTCTTGAAACAGAAGTTTTGATTTTGGGGGGTTTTTTTGGTTGTTGATTTTTTTTTAATAATCTATTCCTTAGATCTTGGCCTCTCAAAATGGAGACTATATAACTATTTGAACAAAAAAATTACTTAATGCTCTGTTGCAACTGTGGTTATTAAGCTTGTTTTTCAAAATGCTGAATACCAAATTCTCCTGTTGACTTTAGTTCAAAATAATTAACTGAGTAAGACGCCTATTGAAGATAATTAATTTTAGCATCCAGTAGTGTTGGTCTAAGTCATAATTAAGTAGGGAGTTCTAATCAAAATGACAATGTAATGAGGCCTAAAGGGATATAGTGCAGTATCTGATGCTGTTTATGTACTCCTTCATCTATCCTAAAATCTTGTGTTTGGAACATTATAAACTCACTTTCCTCAGAAGTATGGTTTTGTTCTTTTTTCCCATAACTTCAGAGGCGGGGCAGTGGAATGTGCTGGAGAATTGCCATTGCAGATTCAGGTACTGTTTCTCTCACATAGTGGTTTTGTTTTTAGTGGGTAGATGCCTGAAAAAACAGGAAAGTGTTATCAACAGAATCTCATTGTCTGAAAGTTAAGACTGGAACATACTGTTAAAGATTGTCACTCATAGAAGTGAGAAAAGGTAGTTTACGTCAGCATTTGGTTGAAGCTTCTTTCATACTTAGTTTACTTCCATTTCTATCTCTGTATCTTTTGGTTTCCTAGTCGTATGCACTAGCTGAGTTGGAGTGTAGGCACAATCCCTCCGTAGGCAATCAGAATAGCTAAAAGCGTTTTTCTCTGAAGGCTTTGTACCATCTTTTCTGTCTTGGATTTGGATTATATATACTTGTTTTTGTACCTGTGAGCTGCTCTGGTAAGCCTACCGGGAGAAGAAAAACCCCATCTTTCTTTCTTCCTTCTCCTTTGGATTTTGTTTCCAACACAGAAGGATCTGATGGCTGCAGAAGCCACCAATTATCCTCTGCTCTGGTGTAGGCTTCCTATTGACTGCAGTCCTTTGGAAAAATATGGGCTGGCACAGGATGCTCGCGGGCAGCAGCTCCTTTGACCCATCCCTCAGCCCTGACACGGGTCTTCCCTGGCTGGAATGAGGGTGTTGGCTCCACCATGGAGCACCTCTTCCTGCTCCATGGTTTTCCCTACACATTTTCTCACTCTTTTTGTTCCTGCTTCTGTTGTCTGTCTGACATTTTTTGCCTTGCAATGGGTCAGCTGGGACTGGCTGTCTCGCATGGCGAAAGCCTAGCTGTACCTTGCAGGGGCTGACTACTGATAAATCCTCACCACAGATACTCAACATAGGCACACACAGGATTGGATTTTTACTGTTTTATACAAATTTATTTCAAAGTTGTATGGCTGGGAAATGTGTATACATGGTAAGGGACTCTGGGAAACAACTGTGTTTAAATCAAGCTTTTGATATGAATTAATCTTTGATTTTTGCTTTTGATTTTTGTAATGCTATGAGTGGACATATTTTTCTTTTCTGTTGTAACTAGGGAGGTGTTCCTGTGAAAGTGACGTTAGAAAGTGCCTCCACATCTGAAACTGAAGACACAGAAGATTTAGAGTATGTTATCCAGCGGCCTGATTTGGCAGAATCATTAGATAAGACAGATATAGCACAATATCAACAGTTACAGGTAAGGTTCAGACTTTAGACTTGATTAAGGCAAATTATATCAATTAAGTCATGTTTTATTCAGAAACTTGTAATTTAACAAATAACCTGTTTTGAAGAAGTATTTCAGAATAACTTAATACAACTGCAGTATGTGTAATTACTCTGTTCCAATCTTGAATCATGGTGTGCAGATCTTTCAGTGTTATTGCTTGTATTTTCTTTCAAGTACTTCCTTTAAAAAAGTAATTTAATGTTATTTCTAATAGCTAAAATAAAGTAATGACTGTTAGTAAAAGGATCTGAAAGTGTTTGAGTTCCATTTTATATTTGAGCCCAGTATATTTTTTCATTTGCTTTTTATTATTCTACTTCTTTGATACTTAAGGAACTTAACAGTAGTGAAACAGACTATTTCTACAAATGTCTTGACTGAGAATGTTTTTAGAAAAGAAGGGGGTGGAAAAAAAGATATGTATCAGTGGCTCAGTAATGTTGCTGAGGTAATCTAGCACTATTATAAGGTAACACCCTCAGGCAGAATAACTGAGTTGTTTCTGAAGTGTTAAGATTTGAATTCTGTTTGGAGAAACCATTGATTACTTCTGTAAGTAAGATCTACAGTCAGTCTGGGTTTGCTGGTTGTTGTCAGAGCACCCTAATGGGTGAATGTGCTGTTCACATGTGTAAATATTGGACTGTGTACCTGTCTTTGTCTAAGAGGAGTGAAGTTAAGCTTTAACTTGCCAGGTATAGCAGTAGTTGGAATGTTTAGGGTGGGATAGAGTTGTGGACAGCAAAAGGACTGTACAAATACTTCATAAATAACTACCAGCCTTTTCATCTGTGTTCAGGAAGATTTCAAGGTTTTCACATGTTGTTGGAACTTAGTTTTGTAGCAACTTCTGATGTCAGTGTGCAGTGTATTGACATTGCACTGTGTCACGGCTTACCAAGAGCATTGTGTCTGAAGTCATAGAATTCCATATCATGTGCAAATTGCTCCAAAAACCTCTATGAAGGAACTACTGTGCTTGCAGAAAGCTTTTGATGTATTTATTTTTGGTGTTTGGAGAAGGAAGAATATTGTATTTAGGACACACGGCAGAGGCAGGCAGTGTTTTGTGCTTTGGGGAAAGGTTGTCATACTAACTTAATATGTCAGTATTAGCTGTAGTACTACATGTAGGGCAGCTGTAAGGAAGGGACAATTTGTGATTGAACTGCCTTGGAGAAGATGTATAAATTCTGGCAGCCTACCCAAAAATTTTGATTTTTCTGTGCTTCTAAATGTTCAGATTTTTCTGACTTTCTGAATTTGAAGACCAAAATACTTTTTTAGGCAATGGTTGCTTATCAGATAGTACCATTTAAGCAATTTACACCTGATTTTGTGCCTCACTCATTGTTCCTGTTACCTCAACACAAAGCAGGTTCAGCATTATAGCAGAATCAAACTATCAAATTGGCACCACTGAATTGTCTATTTCCCCTCTGTCAGTTATTGCCATTTCATTTGTTGCTTCAGTTCTTTTCTCTTATGCCTTTTTTCAGGGTTCTCTGATCATAAGACTGTCATTAAACAGCTGTTACTGCACAGCAGCTTGTGAAGGGAGGTGCTTGGAGGAGCTGATCCAACTGAAAAGTAGTCCAGTGTATTTGGTGGTAGCAAATACTTTCAGTAAAAGGTAGCGCTAGAATAATCATGGGAATGCAGAGTGGAAATAAACAGTGAGAGGTGGGAATTCCTTAAACTGTTTTGTCAAAAAAAGCTGCCCAAACGTCTCTTGATGTGACTGAATGAACAGACTTTCATCTAAGTATGCACATCTTTGAGAACTTCTCTACATCCTTCTGCTCAAAAGGGTCTTTAAGCATACTACTTATTGAAACAAGTACTTGAGTTTTCATAAAAAAAAAGACTTAGCTAGTGAATGCCTAATTTCTGCTTAAATGAAAAATAAGAATTGATAAATATTCTTTCCTTCCACTAGAGGGAATCTAATGTCACAGTTGGTTTTGATGAAGTGTGTAGTTGAGGTTACTCCCATACTTTTAAATTTTAACTAGGAGTTTAAATGGAGAACTTCACCTTTAATCTAGTTAACAGGGCAACTTTTTCTACATCTCACTGCTTTGCGAATTACAAAGAAGTAGAGATTGCACTGTAACTGTTCTTTTTAAGTATCATGCAGTCAAGTAGAAGAACATTGCTGATTAGTTACTAAATTTTTAAAATATAATTTAATTTCTTAAACTTCAATTTTATACCTCTGTCTAGTGTTGAACAGACATAGTGCTTACGAGGGCTAGCTATATTTTTAGTATTTAGTTTAATCTTAAAAGTTTTATCAGTGCTGTCTTTCTGGGTTGTAATACTTGAAGGCTTAGTCTTGTAGCTTGGATGTATACTTTTTTAACTCTGATATATTTTAATAACTTTCTCTGCTAGATAGCACTAGGGCATTGTGTCAACTAGAGAATTTCCTAAAAGCAAATCAAAGATTAAAGTGTACATATACTTTTAATATAATGGTTGGCTTTGACACTGCTTATGAGAAGACGCAATTGCAGTGTTCAATTTTGAACAATTATGTGTTCATAATTGCAGTGTTCAATTATGAACTCAGCCCATAACCATGAAATACTGTGTACATCTTTAGTGTGAAAAATCAAGTTTAAACAATACTGAAAAACATCTAAATTTCTGTTTAAAAAATCGTGATCATTTGATTACTGTCTAAGCCATTGACCTTTGACAATGCAAACCAACAATTTGAAGAAAAAGGTCAGTGCTTTCACCTTTAAAATTATGTAAAATCTGTCCACAACAAAAATACTATGGTTTCTAAAGTAGAGTTCCTACTAGAGTTCCTACATCCTAGAAACTTCAAAATGGAAATAATAATATGTATGCACCTGCAGTATAAATGGAAGGGTAAGAATTCTAAGAAGACTGTGGTAGCTGTTACTGTTCTTCAAAGCTAGGTTGGGAGATTTCAGGTTGCATGTCAGGTTGTCAGTGTGGAACATTATGGTTTCTACTTTCTGTGCTGTGCTTCTGTGTCTTTCAGAGGTTTTATAGATCCCAATGACTTCCACATGTTAAAAGGTAGATGGCAGTAAGATTGTGGTATTTGTGGATGATTCTCTGTAGATTTTTGGCTCTCCACCCTGTGCCTGCAGGTTAGATAGTGCTAAATCTGTTTTGATGCTCAAATGTGAGTACGATGAAGATATGACTAGCTTTCTTCTTGAAGTGTTTGCTTGGTTGATGCTAGTCTAGGGATTTTAGGAGTGGGCTTTACTGGAGTAGTGACAGATCCGTAATCATCAGTTTGAGTGATTGTCGCTAGGAAGGCAATGTACAGAGAGTGTTATAGAACCTGCGTCTTGGATTCAGTTGCAAAAGTACTTCACAATTTACGACATCTTTGCGTTTGTAGAAGGTTTCTTTTTACTATATATTTATATATATATTCTGTACTGCTATTTGTTTTTTATTGCATGTTAGACTGACATTTTGAGATAAATTTCGTTTCACCTGTTTTGATAGTTGGAGCTGGAAGAATGCATGGAAAAACTAAAGGAAGAACAGAAAGCTAGAGTAAAGGTTGAGGAACGATTACTAGAGGTAAAGGTACTTAACTGTTAATGGTCTTTGCTTTTAAAGGAGGCACTTGCTCGGAGAATCCACTTGCTTAATTAGGAGTAATTTTCAATGACCACTAGTGTGGTAGCTTCCAGAATTTCAGTTCAAAGTCATGTGGATCGTTTACTGGTCTTAAGGGCAGTGATGAAATCTGTGTTTAGTAATGTTTGTTCTACTGATACTGTTCCAGAGCCTTGAACTCCAGCTCAAGCTGCTCTTTCAATGTGTTTTATTCCTTTTCTGAAACACTTATGATCTGGGGCACCCTGATACTCGTTTTTCTTAAAGTGATTAAATCTGTTTGCAGTGTGTACACATAGATAGTTCTTTGTCCTCCAACTCACTTACCATGACTTGTGCTGAAAAGCTGTGTGTTGCAACTGTTGTTCAGTTGGATTTATTCTGTACCTTTGATTTTTATGTTTTGTTTCTGCAGGCAATAACCATATTGGATGGTTTTCTGCATGTCAGTTGTTGTAAAGTGCAGTTCAGCTTTGACAAAACTGAACAACTTATAACAGTTAAATTGCAAGTTCTTATTCCCCTCTGCTGTTGCTGACTTAAAAATATTCTTCTGCATGAATAAGCTGAATTTCTTGTATCATAGTTGTGTTTAAGGTAGCATATAGATTTGGTCCTTAGATGTGATTTGGAGGGGAGTGAAAGTAGATGATAACCTTTGAAATACGAGCTGCAAGTGATGTCCCACAGTAGAGGGAGTACAGTAGATACTCACAGAGGACTCTGCACTTCTCAAAGACAGATTGTAGCTCTTCTGTTTAACTATCCCCATTTTTCTCTAATGTGATGTGCACCAGTGGGCTCTGCTGGGTTAGATCCTTAAATGCTTTTTTAGGCTAAACACCCCCTACAGGGTATCTTTCTCTATCAGGGCTAGGCTGGTTGGATTTAGACCTTGTCCCAGGAGGTGGAATAAACCAAATAGCATTAATCTCTAATTAGTTGCTTATTTATCAGCTATGGTACATTACATAATCTGTAATTTTTTTGTCCTCACATAAAAAATACAAGACAGAAAGCCTGTGGTAGTACTTGACTGCATAGTTGTAGCCTTAAATGAGTGAGTTAGTGCTTGCACAAAACCTTGTATATCCTGCAGTTACACAGTTTTCAGTTTCATTTTGTTGATTTGATTAATGGTCTATGTCAAGAAAAATTGAATCATCTTAAACTTTCTGTTTTGGGATGCACAGTGCAGGGGAGGGGTAAGAGTAGTATGCATTCCTGCAATAGAGAGGGTTGAATATAAGGAGGACATTGACATTCATTAAGGTTTTTCTACTAGTAAAATAAATTCTTTGGTGTTAACATGTCATACAATACATACAAAGTAAAAGGATAAGAAAGCTAAATTTTTCGGGTTGTAGTTGCTCTGTAACATCCTGTGCATCACTGACAGTACTGAGCCAGTGGTTTTGAATGCCTGCAGGAATATCTATGGTAGCATAGAACTGTATCTGTGGATAAGCAGACCTGCACACAGCTCGTGCAACAGTGCTCTGAAAATGTGTGGTACGGCGAACTCTGGATCTTGTTAAATCAGTTATATCAGATATTCTTCTTTTTGATACTGCTGTTTAGGCACACAGAGGTGAGGTTTGATATTCTGGCATCTTTTAAACTGAAAATGAAAGACATTTCTTTTTTTTTTTTTTTTTTTTTCCCTTGCATAGCTGGAAATTGAAAATGCAAGATTAAGGAGTCTAAATATCTCCCTATCCAAGGTTCTTCATTCACAGTCAGTAACCAGCATGATTTTGGAAGATGAAGGTATTCTAGGCAGCATTGAGAGCTCTTTCCAAAAGTTTCATGCTTTTTTAGACCTCCTTAAAGATGCTGGGTAGGTTGTCACTTTAAATCTTGCTCTTTTTCCTACGATCTTTCCAAAATTATCCTCACAATGAAGTGTGCTGCCTGCTACCCCACCACATTTCTAGGTCTGTACTGTCAGAGAGCAAAGGAAAATAAATTAGCTGTGTACCTATTGTTTAGTCTTTTCCTAGTGGCAAAAGCATGATCTATGTGCTGTTCAGCTGAGTTCATGCATCTGTCTTTGGGAAAGGCTTTCAAGAAGCCTTTTCCAAAAGAGTAGAAAGCTCCTATTAAAGCACGTTTCCAAGTCCTTAATGAATCACCTTTGGCTCTTAGCATGCCCACAATATGAAAGGCTCAAAATGCAGTTGAATTGCCTTCAGAAAGTGTCCTGTTACCTTGTGCTCTCCATTCACTAATTGAAGTATGAAAATATAGATAGATGAATCTCCAGCGTCCAGGAGGTGGTGAAATGGCCATCCCTGGAAGTGTCCAGAAAACAGCTGGGATGTTGGTGCTTAGGGGACATGATTCAGTGATGAACTTAGCAGTGTTAGATTAATGGCAGGACTTGATGCTCTTAAGAGGTCTTTTTCAACCTTAATGATTCAATGATTCTAACTCACTGTAAAGTTCACCCTGAGGCTGTTTTCTAATTTTGCAACAGTTTGTAGAATTGCCATTACTACAGGAGTTTCAAACTTCTCAGGAAGGGAAGAATGCATTTTCGCTATACGAAAAAAATTTCTTCATATGGGCCCTATATCTATTCGTAGCAATAAGAAGCTGCTCTGAAAGTTACAGAATCCTAATCAAGAAGAACGCTTTCTCAGTAAGCTTCTATATATCATATGCTGTGCTATTAGTTAATGACTGCAACTTCTCTCTTTTTACTGAGGCTTAAAACCCACATGTGATTGGTTTGGCCAAGATCCAAACTGGCAGGTGACCCAACATAATAGTATTTGTGAAGCTTGTCATCGACATGTTAGAGATTATGCAATTTGGAGATGTGCACCGATTTCTGCTTGAATGACAGAGTTTTAATCTTTGTTCTGCCTGACATGGACTCTCATAGTCAATATGCTGCCCTGACTTCAGTGCTAACTAAGAGAGCTTCATTCTCAGCCTTGTAACGCTTGTTTTGAATCTGCAGGCTAATTTGTGCAAAAACAAGAAAATACCTTCAGCTACTTGTTTTCATCTTGGTTAAGATACTTTGAGCTTCACATAAAATAACAGAAAACTATGTTCAAAGCTTTAAACAAATTCTACTTCTGATTTTGAACATTTAGTCTTTCGAAGAGTAAGAACAGTTTGTGTGATTTTCTATTAAATGCTTATTTTGCAGGCTTGGACAACTTGCTGTAGTAGCTGGGATAGACCAATCAGATTTTGGTATTTTGGGGCATCCACAAATGAATTCTACTCTCAGTAAGCCTGTGAACATGGTAATGGAGAAGTCTTTTGAAGAGGAAAGACAGGAACATACTGAGAATAGCAAAGTAAGTCTTTAGAAGGAATGCTAGAGGCAATTTTACTTGGTACTTTTGAATGTATTTTTCAGCTGTTGATCCCCCTCTGATTCATGAGGTTTTTACCACAACTCTTTGCTATGGCTGCATTTATACAGATCATAATAATTCAGTGATTAATGTAATCTTCTAAAGTGTTTACCACTTGGAGCACAAACTGCAGTATTTTATAACGTGTTAAACTTTGATGGTAATTGTGTTGTTTCCTAGTCTGAAATAGGAAGTTCCAATAGTGGTATGCATCCATTCAAACTGGAAAATACCATGATCAGGTTTTTCAGAAACACTTAATAATGAAACATAGTGTTTCTAATAAACCTGATCTTACAAGAGAGGCTATGTAACAATGTACCTTCTGGAAACCATAAATTATCTTGTAAATAATTGCAGTGTATATGTCCAGTCCTGATAGATTTTTCTGTAGCCATGACATTAGTTTCGGGCAACTACAATTTTGTAATTGTAATTTCTAAATATTACATAAGGTTTTAGGTTCTACTTTGTGAAATAATAGTAATCCATCTGGATTTTTCAAAGGAGGTATTAAAGCTCCTGTAACAAAGAAAAAAACACAGGCTTTTTTAAAGGCTGTTAAAAATTTAGATACTGGCAGCTTATAGCTATGTCCAAGTTGAACAAAACTGTACTAAGAATCACTGCATTCCAGTGTGTGTTTCTTATATCAAATGTCTTCCCCTCTAACTGTTCCAATTTCCTCAAGAGCACATGAGCTCCTTAAATATAATGATAAAAATTTGGGGATTGTTTTAACAGTGTGGAGAGAATTTTCAGTTTTGCAGTTTGAAGACTCTCATTCTTACCTCCTAGTATTGGTGATTAGCTTGGATTCTTGTAGAGCTAGATGATGTGGTATAGAGTGTTGAGACTACACTTCAGTGGATTGCTAGTAAACATAAAGAATTGCAGGTGTTTCAGAATGATAGATGTGATTTAAGTTTTGTCTGCTTTTATGTAACTGATATATCCCAGTAGTATAAATTTCAAGCTAGATCTGAAACTGTAATGTGCATGCCCTGTGTCATTATCACCCTAGTTGCCTTCAGAAGCCTGTTCTGAAAGGTGATAAAGATCATGCAATTGCTTTTACCTCTGCATCTTACCTACATTAGGTAAAGACTGTTTTTCTCTGCAGACCCCAGTATATTTGGCAGTTGCAAAACTCCTTTTTTTTCCTCTAATTGTCTCAGTTTCTTCATTGGAATCTTCTGTTTCAGACCAGAGCTGGAGATGTCCAACTTCCTCCTTCTGGCACGTTTCAATCCCAGATATTTGTGAATAATGCCTTTTCATCACTTAGAGAAATAAGAGAAGTTCAAGCTGCTGGACAGCCGTATCAACCAGGTTTGTGGAAGGAAAATGAAGCTCAAATAATTAACCAAAATAAAGAAGATAAGCCTGGAAGTACTACTCCAGTATTATCTGAGAGGAGGGTCAAACAAAATGAACAAGCAAAAGGACGTCACTCAGCAAGGCAGTTGACTACCAGTCTGCATTCATATTCTGATTCCAGTTTACAAATCAAAAGTGATGATAGCAGAATATCCAGTGATATTCCTGGTGAAAAAAGCCAAAATTACTCCTCCAAGAAATACATCTCTGTAGCAAATGAAACAGCAACTCCAAGTAACGGAATGAGAGGAGACAAAAGTAGACTGCAGGTAGTAAATGTTAACTCTGGAACAGATACTGTAGGATCTGGGTCTGAAATACAGGAAAGTATACAAAGTGTTGCCAGCATTTGAAATGGTTCTAAAATGTTTGAACTGTTTTTTACACTTGCAGGATTAGGTTTTGGGTGTTTCAGTATAATGAGTAAGTTTTTTGTAAAGTTTTATAGACTTAATGACTTTTTAAAGCATTGCATACTGCTCAGTATTCCTGGTTCATATTTTCATTCCTTCGCACTAGATTTTTAGTTTTGAAAACATGTGATACACCTAAAATGGTACCCATCAGTTTGTAAAACATATAAGGCATTCTTGACATACGGATTTCATTATCACAGATTTTTCTTGAGCTAATAAAAGTTAATTTGAGTACAGTCTTTTTCTAGTGTTTATTTTCAATGTATCCCAGTGGGAGTGCAGAAGTGGTTTTGGGGCAAACATCAATTCCTGCCTAACAGTGTGTGGGTATGACATTCTGAAAATCACTGTAAGTTTCAGGGTCAAAAATGAGCCCAGAAGCATCCATATAATAAACCTTTAATACAGCCATTGTTAGTGCTATGACTGCAGATCGTAGAACAGCACATGTTGGAAGGAGCCTCTGGAGGATGTATAGACTAACTCATTGCCCTCAGGACCTAGGGAAATGTGAGAATGTAAAACTAAGAGAATTACAATTGTTTTCAGACTCATGGTATTTACCTCTGGCATCTTGTCCTTGTGCTCAGGCAGCTGGTTTGAAGTTTCTGAGGTAGAATATACTTAGTACATACAGGAACTAGGCAGGATGGTGTAGGCTGATCTGGGGGAAAAAACAACCTCTAACTATTTTTTACTCAGTCATCTGCTATGTGATTTCTGGAACACACAGGATCTGTAGAAATTCCTGACTCTGGTTGCTTGACAAATACCAAAAAAACTCATGAATCCTCAAATTCAATCCTACAGAGCAAATAGCACAAGATTACCTTAGCTATTGCAATATTGCACAAGTAATTGCACAATGAAAGTATGTTCTTTGTACAGACTTCGTCACTTCAGAATATTAGAAGGTAATACATTAATCTGTTATTTTTTATATATTTTCCCAATTGCTTGTCTAATTCTTCAGTCAGTCTTTGTGATTTTGGTTTGACTGAACAATTACATGCAATCTGTATATTCAGCGGTAAAAGGCCACCTAGTCCTTTTTAAAAAAATTCTAAACGTAATCATTGAGAAATGCTTTATAAAAGTATAAATTCAGAATTGGTTTATTTGTGATGTTAGGAGTTGGAATCTGTTACTTGTCCCTTAAAATACCATGAAGAACTTAGAACAATTTAGGTATTACATGCCCAAAAGCAGGTGATACTAAGTACCTTGCATGTTAAATACTTTTCAGTATTTGCATTAAGAGTATGAATTACGTCAGAAATCATCTTTAAAAGCAAAATTGACCAGGCAGTTTGCAATTTAGATGGGCATACTTTTTTTCAGTGAGTTAATACTTAAACGTTTTTTTTCTCCTGTTAAATCAGAAACATGAAGGATTCTTCATGTTACTGGTGCTATGGTGTTTCACTCTAACTGTGAGAATCTGTAGTGCATAACTATATATACTTTATATATAGTTGGATCCAGAATTGGCAGAGACAATGAGTTGAAGCTGCTAGGGGAGAGGTATTCTTTTTAAGGCTATCATGAATACATCAGAACTTCAAAGGTTTTTTCCTAATGATTTAAAAACTCATTTGCAAAAAGTATTTTACACTTAAAAATGTATATTTTCTATATATACTTAACAGTATTCTAATAAAAAATAAAAATATTTTTATTTTAAATTATTAAAAAAAACCATTTCTACTCTGACTGTAAACTGTTTTATTCTGTTACTGTTAATTCATGTTTTATATAATTGTCTGTGTTCCTGTTTGACATAAAAGCCTGAAATCAATAGGCCAGCTATTTGCTAGAGAACATGTTGCTGTTTATTCATAAAGCTCAATGATTTTTTCTCTTTTCACTTAGTCTTCCCAAGACCTACTCTTCACAGTTCAGAACTTCGATCTCTGAAAAACAAAATAGCCCCAAACCCTTATTTGAGCTGCCCAAGTGTAATGTTTCACCAAAATTTGCTTATCTCATGAGTTTGTTGGACCAGACATCCCAAGCTGCCTCCTGAAATGCTTGCCAGGTTGCTGTGTAGTCAGCATTATTTGTCTTCTAATAATGACGTCGGTTTGTCAGCCGTGGTACCAGACAGAGAACTCACGTACACGTGCTCTCCTTGAGTGAGCTGATCCTTTTCCAGCAGTAGTCGATCAACGTTTTGCTGTCCAGCATAACCTGAAGTCACAGTGAACCAAATAAAACTTCACTGAAAACTCTGAAACTTTACTTACACTTTTTATTTTAATTTTTTTTTTTCCATATATGCATCATAGTAAATACAGCTCTCTTTGCTTTTATGTTAATTACACAAATCCATGTTCACCTGCAGGGACTGATTTGTGGCACTTGAAGGGTCCAAATCTCTGTCAAATTGTAGAACTCAGAAGCATTCCTGGAAATCATGGTTTTGAAAGCTTATACTGGGTGACTAAGAGTTGATAAGATTCTATGATGGAGTTAATGGTTTTTGATGTAATTAAAACATTAAATCACGATTCCTGCTAGCAAAATACTAAAATAGGAGAAATCTCAATCCAGTACATACAAAACTGTAATGCGACCTACGCTATTTTCTTCATTTTTTTCATCTGCAAAAGCATAGTGATCCCTTGTCCACAGCAAAAAAAATCACATTTATACAGTCTTTCCAGTTCTATATACTTACCATCAATGCACAGTATGAAGAGGATTTTCTAAAGCTTCTGGGTGACAAGGCTTCCAGCAGAGTTGTCCTCTGGTCTTGTGGGAGCTGCTATTTTTGACTCTTCTGGTCAGGATGAGACTTCTGTGAACTAAAAACTCCAATACCTGGTATTTATACCAGTGCTCTGAGCTGATACCAGCACCAGCTTGCCTCATTTCTATTTTTGTTCTCTAGCTCTTCGTGCCAGCATTTGAAATACTTTTTTAACTCCAAAGTTTTAATTTCCCTTGTGGTTTGTGCCACACAATTAGCATTCAAGATTGACCCTGGTTGGATGTTGAAGCATGTTTTGTAGTAGTGGGCAGGCTTCCTGACCCAATTCCCCAACCTACACTATTTCTGACTGCTTCCACCAGTTTCCTGGCCAGACTGGAGTTGGAAGTTGCCTCTCTGGGCCTACATAGGTGCTTTAGATTTAATACTGGAAAAAACCCATATGAGTAGCCTGTATCTTTTGATCCTACTTCTGCTTGAGACCTGAGTGAAAAAAATTAATTTTTAGTCACATCTATGTTGCTACTAAGCATTTCAGTAGAGGTTTCTATTTTATGATAACTAAGGTTAATAACCAGTTTTATGATAACTAAGGTTAATAACCAGAAGTAACATAGTTAGCGGTGTGAGACATACTTTAAAAATACCTCTGTGTTTTGAAACTAATGTATCCAGCCTGTGATGTCTGTGAAGTTTGCTATGGTCTCTTAAAAACTGCGGAGGTTTCTGGTGTCTGAAAGCAAGTTTGGTAGGTTTTTCTTAAGCTGTAGCAATCATTGAAATGAAAGTTATCTTTACTCTAACATCAACGTCTCTGTTCACAATTTTTTGAACAAAATAACTTCCATAAGATGAAAATCTTTCAACTAAATACCAGATCAGGCTGTGTCTGTAAATTCTTTTTGTGGTTCCAGGTATTGGCTGGCTTGACAGGAAAAGGAACAAATTCAACTAGTCAGTATTTCTTCAGTGAAACAGTTGGTAATGAAAGATGTCATTTTATATCCATCTCAGTATTCACAAAATAATGGACATCAATAATTTCTTTTAAAAATTCAGATTTCTGTACAGATGATTAATGTTGATGATAAGCTTGGTGAACATCCATGAGACTAACATAGGGTCAGGTTATAGGAAACACTGGGCAATCTAGTGTGTTCAAGAGCTGTGCTTTACACAGCTACATATGAGAATTGTGAATCTTGTCCAAGATACTTGGAAATTATGGGACTGTAATGCCCATCTGTTTTCAGTTATACCTCATGGCAACTTCTGTGAACTGACTTGGGCAAAATGTTTTGCCCTGAAACAATCACAAAAAAATTGAATGAGCTGAAGTCTCTTTCTCTCAGTTACAACAGTTTTGGTGTAATACCTTTGTGTTTTCAATTAACCAAAGTACCCGTGGAAGGAATGCTTTAGTATTCAGGGATATTAAAAAAAAGTACTTAAATGTAGTATTTTAATATTTAATGAAAGAGTGGGTTGTTTTGGGGTTTTTTTTTTTTTTGTAACTAATACCTAAAAATAAGACACGTAAGTATAACTTTTGCACAAATTACTCAAGATTTTGAACTCTTGGATTTAATGAAAAGTAAAAAGATACCATGGAGCACATTAAAAGAGTGAAAGAGTGCACCAAGCAGTTGTGTCTGTGCATGTGTGTGCGCGTTTGTGTCTTCCTACGTGTGCCTGTGTGTGTGCCTCTGACGCCCACCCCCGCCGGCTCTTGTGCGCTGCGCCCGCCGGGGCTCGCTGTGGGGACCCCGCGGAGNGGGTGGAAGGTGCCGGGCCCCGGCGGCCGCGGGTTTATAGCGGAGGGGTTGACGGTGTGGCCGCAGCAGAAGTGGCAGCATCGGAGTGATGGAGAGCGGACGGCAGGTTGCGAACTTCGGCGCCGGGCCGGCGAAGCTGCCGCGCTCCGTGAGTAGGGGCCGGGCTGGGGCACGGCGAGCCTGGGTGTCCTCGTCCCCCCGGCTCTCCGCGGGATTCCGGCTGCAAAGCGAAGTCTGGGGAAACTAGTAAATAGTAATTACAGAAGTTTACCCGCACAGCGCCGAAACCTCGTGTCTTCTCCTCCAACGAACTGCAACAATAAGCTCGGATTTTTGGTAGCGAGCTCGAGTGTAGTTCTCGGAATATTCTATAGGGTTTTTTTGGTTTATTTACTTTTTCTTTTTTCTTTTTTCTTTTTTTCCCTGCTGGATGATAAGGCACCAGCACCTATATGATTAGTTTTGGGATGGGAAGTAGGACCTAAGCGCACACTCTGTGGAGTGTGAGATTTGTCAGTTGATAAATAGCATGGTAATTCCCTGAGACGCCTTTTTATAAGAAGTTATAGTGAGTGAATGTGGTGTACACTCAACCTTCTGGGAAGTTGCATCAGCAGCTATGGATTATCCAGTTACATATGGAGAGGGGTGGTTTCTGTCGAACTGTACGTATCTGACTTTCATTTTAAGGGTTATCTGCTGTGGATTTTTTTTTGTTGTTGTTGTTGTTTTCTTCGTTCCTTTCATAGTATTCTTCGTTATTTGATGTGTTACTTCTTTAAAAAAATTCTTTACATGAACAGATTTGTTGCGGAACAACTTTCTTTTTTTTTTTTATTTGTTTGGGTTTCTTTCCCCTTCTGTCTCTTTTCTCGAGGAAATGTCCTTTGTGGATAAGGTTGCAAAGAAATTTGTTGCAAAGAAATTTCTTGTTCTCTGTCGGGCTCTAGATTCCAAAAGGGGCTCTCGCAGGCACTGCCGCACTACCAGCTCTCTGACAGAGACGGCTTAAAACTGGATTTAAGATTTGAGGAGTGCAGGTGGGCACAGCTGAGCTCGCTATTATTAATCTGTTTTTCCTCTTGAAAATGCAGTGCTCTTGTGTGGACTGCTGTATCACCTCGATGTTTTGTTTCTCTTGATTGTGGGCTGATGCTGCCCATAAAGCATTCAGACTCGGTGAGGCAAGAAGATGGAGCAATTCATAGATTATAATGGGTGTCATAGATGTCTGTTGTGAGGCATGTGCAGATTTTCTGATGAAGAATGTTACTAACAGGATTGGATTTTATCAGGCAGTTTAGCAAGCATTACTCTAAACAGTCTGTGTGTTCTGCCATACTTTTTTTGCCTCTTTCTCTGGCATGGAAAAGTTCGCTTATAAAATGTGGTGGTTAAAACTTCACAGATCTTAGTTGACCTTTTGGTAGCCAGTTGTTACAGTTGACAGGCCATGCAGACACCCTGTCAGCAAGGCAGATTTCTTGTTCCTGAAATTGCCCAGAGAGTGCAGTTTCCTGTCAGATCCTAGGGTTCATGCACACAGCATTTGTTTGGTGGCTGTTGTACTGGGGCTCCCTCTTCTCCTGCTTCTTCAGGAACAGCCAAGAGTGTTCTGGCTCTCAGACAAGAATTTACCAAAATCAGAAGCTGCAGATCCATTGGTTAGAATCTAATGCTACTTTGTTGATATTCAAGAGCTAGGGGAGAAGGCAGGAAAAAAATGGATGTCTGAAGCAGTGCTTGGCTAGGATTTTAGTGATCTGGTTTTTTTGGTTGTCTCAAAATTTTGCTTATTTCTTAACTCTCAATAAGATAAAGACTCATCTTCCAAAAGTGTGGAAATTAATTTCTGTAAGGGTTTAGAGTTCCATTCAATGCCTAGAAGTTGTTCAGAAATCTGGAAATGTTGCATTTGAAATAATAATTTAAAACATGGTTTCCACAACAAGCATATGATATAAGTTTGCTATTTTATGGAAAGCCTTAAGCTTCTAGGTATAACAAAATTGAATTAGTGACTATACTTCTGTTAATCTCACTTGACAAATGTCAAGTTATTGCAATTGGGGCAGCTGGCATAGGCATGATGCATCAGAGACTCCAGATAGTGGAAAGTTCCCTTAATTTATTTCTGGATTTTTTTTCTATTGATAGGTATTATTAGAAGCACAGAAAGAATTGGTGGACTACAAAGGACTTGGTATAAGTGTTCTTGGTAAGACTTAAAAAAAAATCTACATTTTTCATGATTTTGATGTTTAACTGAATTGTTTAATAAGACTTTCTGATCTTGGTATTTTAGCTCCATTTCTCATACCTCTGTGTCTGTATAGATGTGTATAGATACCATACAGATGTACAGCATCCTTCCTAGTAGGAAGGCAGTACTCTCCTGTGATAAGGAGGAAGTGTCTTCTGTGCCATATGGGTAGCTCCCTGGCTTTTCAGCCCAGTTGCACAAAAGATTTATGCACCAGGACAAGCGAGCATTTTATTAGCCTATGAAACAGATTAGTTGCTAAAAGTGGAACGTGCAGCTGTCTCCTCACAATTCAGATTAATGTTTAAATTGTACACTTACACATGGAAGACAGCCTAGGATTTAAAAGGAATTATTGTGTAATTGTCCTTAATGTTTAATTAGCTTTGCTGTGTGAAGAAGCCTTGCTAAAGGTAAGAGAACAAAACAAACTCCTTTGCTTTATTATATACTTCTCACAGCATAAGCAGCAGAGAAGGTTCTTAGCATGAGGAAAAATGAAACCTTTCTAAAGGCTATTTTTTTGCCCTCAAATGTGGTTGTTCCTAGTTGTAATGTTATATGGGTGCCAAATGTCAATGAGCAGTATTTGCCTGTATCTGGACAAGACTGCAGGTATAAGTCTTCCGTGGGTATTTTAGGGTATTTCTGTACTTAAAGAGGAGTAGGAACTGGGAACGACAGCCTTCAGGCATTTTGGGTCTGTAGTGTAAAAGGTTTAGAGCTTAACACAATTTTAAAATCAAATTAATGTATTACCACCTTATTTCCTGTTTTTTCTTGTCTCTATTCCACTGAAGAAATGAGCCATCGGTCCTCAGATTTCACAAAAATTTTAAATTCAACTGAGAACCTCATGCGTGAATTGCTGTAAGTGAATTACTTTCTGCTTATTTTTATGTTATGTGTGTGCTAGTTGCATCAGTAATGTCTAATGTGGAGATCTTTCCCTGAAAGCACCTCTTTGATGGTGTTTTTCATGCATGAATACTGTGTATCCTAGAGTAATAACCCTGGGGAGGACACTGATCTTCTGTTTGATTCTTCCATTTTTGAATGTGACAAAGGGTTCTTCCTGGGTTAAAACTGATGTTTTTTATATATCTAGCTGAGTTTGTTTTGAAATTTTGATTTTTGTCATACCTTCATAGAATTTATGAAGGACCTACAAGAAATAAGTGCAAACAATAAAAATAAGTTCTCTAGTGGTATAAATGTGATCTGCATGTTGCCCATAAGTCTTATTTTATTAACAAAAGCTCTGTGGATCAATGTTAGAATCACTGATCAAGAGACCTTTTCCTATTTGTAGAATGACACATTTTAAAAATTTTGAAATAAATATATAACGGATTAGAATTACTCTTCTTATAGTAGTTAATAATATTGGTCATTTAACAAAAACACTTGACCCTCAGTTACAGCCAGAATCATTGATGAAGGGATTTTAATGAATAATTTGGATATGTAATTTTTGTGATTGCATGAGCAGCTCTTTATTGCACGTTCTCTGCATTTATGCTTTACTGTACTGTTGCACTTTCAGACTGAAGGGTCTCAAAGCTGAGTGCTACTGTAAGCACTTCTGTGTTCTTAGCCTGACAGAAAAGTCATGAGGCTAGCAATAGATGAAATTAAAAGCCAAGATTAATTGTGAGGAATATCTCTCAAGTTCGTGTGTAGAGCTACTTAGGAGTGAGTTTGTTTAATGCTGTCCCAGGCTTGGGGACAGAAAGCTTTTTTCCAGCAAATTTTTATCACTAAAATTCATAGCATTTACTCTTAAATATTTAAGTTGTTTCTCAAGACCAGTGCTGAGGTAAGTTACTGGGACTTGATCTAAACTCTAGGCAAAGAGTCTTCAAAAATGACAGCTTTCTTTCTCAGTCACAGTTAAATGCATAGTATCAAGTTGTATGCATCCTATGTCATCTGGGAATAACATAAATGGTTATTTCTTTTATGCAGAAATATACCAGACAACTACAAAGTTATTTTCCTTCAAGGAGGTGGATCTGCTCAGTTCAGCGCAGTCCCTCTTAACCTTATTGGTTTAAAGGAGGGAAGACAGGCAGATTACGTGGTTACTGGAGGCTGGTCGGCAAAAGCAGCTAAAGAAGCAGAGAAGTATGCCAAAGTAAATATCGTTCATCCCAAATTAGGAGCCTATACAAGTAAGTTGATGATTGCATCTATCTATGTGAATGCTTAGCTTTTTGACTTGCTCTAAAAGTGGACCCAATGTAGTTATAGGGCTGTTGAATGTTAACTAGAGTTGATTGCCAGCATCAAAAGAATGTTTGCTGCATCTCACCTTGTCCACCACTGGGAGTTTTATTAAATGGCTTAACAGTTTCCACCAGAAAAAAAAAGTGAAATGGGGCTGAGCAGATGCCAGAAAATGAGTGACAAGAAACAAATGTCTAAGTAGGAAAAGTGGTCTGGGCTCTCTCTGTTCTTTTAATATTTAACTGAGTTCTTAAGCTATTCACAGGGATATTGTGAGGTATTTCGATTTCATGTACACTTGGTAATGAGATTGCTGTAAAAGTCAGAAGCAGGTCTGAGATTTTAAGCTTGTTTACCCAGGAGAGACCTGAAATCTGTCACCTCCTTTTAAATTTCCTAAATTATATTCTTTCCCACCACAGTGTCAGTGAATATGCATAAATAATCTTGGAGCAGGAATACATGAGATGTAGTTTCTATTCCTGCTAGTCTTGCTCACTTTTCTTTCCTCTGGTCCAAATTGCAACACTTGAACTAAAAAGAGTGGCAGCAAGAAAGACAAATAATATCCCCACATAAGTTAGTGTATTAAGTGGTGATTAAGGCACTAACTTGGAAAGTAAGTTTATATATTGTGAGGCACAGGAAGGAATTGAACCTAGGACTTTCCAGTCTTGGGGAGTGTAATTCAGCATTCTGTAGCTGTAGATAAGAGGAGAGGCAGTAAATAAAGCTGGAACAATAGCACCATCTCCCACCCCTCCCTTCACCTCCCATTAGGTCCCAGAGGAGAAAAGAAAAGAAGAGCAACTATTTGTTCTATGCCAAATCTGTTCTGTGCTGTCAGGACATGCCTGTATATTGCCTGTTGACAGAGGAAATCTTAGTTTTGTAAATCAGTTGCAAAGCTTAAAATGGGAGAAAGGTAGGTAACCTTGTGTTTGTTCAGCTTGGGCAAGACTTAAAAGCTTCTGAGATTGCACAGAAAGAGAGCTTTAGAGAACTTTGCCAGTGAGAATTTGCATGTTCTAGTGGTTCCAAAGGCAGCAAGAAGATTCTTGGGCTCAGTGTTTGAATTCTTCTGAAATGCTGTTTTGAACCCCTTAGGGCAGTAGTTTGTAGTCTGGAATTACAAACTGGATGGAAATAATTTAAAGAATAAGGGGTGAAAAACAAAGGTTTTGCAAACTTAATGATGGCTCACCAGAGAACTTTGGGAATGCATGGGTGTATTGGCTTTGCAGGTACATTATCTTCCTGGTAACAGCATGATTAATAGTCTATATAGCAAAATTGATTTTGGTTTACACTTAAGTTTCTTCAGGTAAAACTGCATGCCAGGAAGTCTCCAGTGACCTCTGGGTTTATTTTTTGTTTCTTAGGCATTCCTGACCCAAGCACTTGGAATCTTAATCCAGATGCATCGTATGTGTATTATTGTGCTAATGAAACTGTCCATGGTGTGGAGTTTGACTTTGTACCTGATGTCAAAGGAGCAGTCTTGGTTTGTGATATGTCATCGAACTTCCTGTCCAAACCTGTGGATGTTTCCAAGGTAAATAACTGGACACAGTGACTACACATAAAGTATTTTCAAAATTTAATATACTGCAGCACTTTGAAATGTCTGGATGGCTAGAGATACTGAGCAGTGAATTATTTGAATATTAGTGAATTGTTTTGTTAATTGAGTATCTGATGATGGATAGAAGTGTTGAAATTTCAGGTCTGAGATTTCAATTTGTATTTGTTTTCCTTTTTCTCATAAAAACATACTTAACTAATTATGTTGAAATAGTTCATGGAAATAGCTGCCCAAGATTATTTAGCTACTGTGTGATCTTCACTGATGAAGAAAATACCTGCTAAAATAAAATAACAGCTAAAATAAATATCTTCTAAATCATATTTATTCTGTAGATAGTGTATAGCTAGAGCAGGGTACTGTGAATCAGTTTTTTAATCGTTCCTCTAACATGAAAAATCTGTAACCTCTTTTACACTCCTAAAGTTTCCTCTGCCTCATGATTATGATGTCTGTTTCATAGATAGTACAGAGGCAGAACATAGACAATTGCTATGTTTGTAAAGTATACTGTGAGTAGAAGTGTTTCTGACTAGTGAAAAAGCATGTTTGACTTTTCTTACCTGTGTGTAGCAAAAAGGAGTAGTTATTTATGCATTCAACTTGGCTTTTCCTGATCTGCCTCTTTAAACAGGTGTATTTTATGATGATTGTTCTGAAATACCAGATGGGTTGAATATACTGTGAACTGTGTAGGAATTTGTTTTTAGTAAATTTGCTTGGAGTAGTGTGAAATTGCAACATGCTGCCTTGAGAATTGTTTGTAGCTATTAAATAAACATTTAGGAAACTGTTGTGAAATTCGTTATGATTATCTTCCTCATCTGAGTAGCCGTAAGTACACTTTGAAGTCAGAACTTCTGCTAACTCTTCTTTTAACCTACAGCTTGCTAATTTTCAACACATTCTCTGTTCTGTTCAGCTGACTAGTATGCCTGGGGTATTACTCAGTAATAAGATCCTCAAGCGAATGCATGTACCAAGATTTTTCTTCTTCCTTTTAAAGTTTGGTGTGATTTTCGCTGGTGCTCAGAAGAACGTTGGCTGTGCTGGAGTTACTGTTGTAATAGTACGTGAGGACTTGCTGGGATTTGCACTGAAGGAATGCCCTGTTGTACTGGATTACAAAACACAGGCAGCAAATAGCTCATTGTATAACACTCCACCATGCTACAGGTAACTCACCCTGCTACGTGATATCCCTTCCTCAGCAAGCTGTCGCACTGCCATCTGCTGGTCTTATCTAGAAAAGCTTCCAAAGTTGCGTATTTGCCCTCAAGCCACTGGTACGTTGGAGTGTTTCAAGTGATTCCTGTGAAAACATGCGAAGTGTCCAGCCCTGTGACTAGCAGGCTTTGCGTTGCCTAGTGCGACTTAGCCATAGAGGACGTAGCCTTTTTCAAAATAAATATTATATGTCGTACCTCCATTATAGAAGTTGCAGGATGCAGTTCTGGTTTACCTGAGCACAGCTCTAGTCAATTAATGGTGATGTTTCTGTCATTGCAAGGAAGTAATTTGGCACTAAGACTTGCTCCTTGATCACTAAATGCAGTTTGATTTAATTTCTTCCTGACATTGTTCTCAGCATTTGAACCTCCAGATCCCCACTGACTTTCTTTACTGGAAAATGGTAAATATTATTGTGATTAAAGTTTTAAATAATATAAGATATTGCAAGAATATGTATTCTTCTAATCTTTAAAAATATTTCTTGTTCTTTGTACGTCTTTCACTACTGTTGGTTTTGAAATGAAACTGTTGAATTTTTTTAAAAGGCATTTTAGTAGTTGCTTTGCTTTGCTTTGCTTTTTTAGTGGTTGCTCTACTCTTGTAAAGTTTTGCACAACTCTTAGACTGCCATCTCATTGTTTGGTTTGGCATCCAAAGATAAAATTGATATATCTAGCAATCAAAATTATAAAATTGCCATGTACCTGAAGGTTTCATTATGTAAGAAGCAGATCAGACTTCAGCTTGCTTTTTAAATATTGCTATCTTGTAGCTTCTGATAACTAGTGAAATGATTCTTTGCTAAAAGAATGTTTAGGTGTTGAGCCAGTGGTATCTACCCGTTCTTAACCTGAAGAATTTTTTTATCAGTGTCCTCTGAAATGATTATTTAAAAAAAGATCTTCAATCTGGGTATATTTTTTCTCCAGAAGCTTTTAAAATTACTTCGGAAATAAAGATTTCTTTTTCATTCAGATAATTTGATAATGCAGTTTTATACTGATGTTTAGTCTCAGCTCTTATAGCTTCTGTGTTCTAGAATTGCAAAGTTAGGTTGCCTAATGATCTCGGAGACATATTAAATGTACTGTATGGGCCTAAAGTTCAGTGATTCCTCTATATAAACTCTATAACCTAATTCCATCATTACAATTAGTGTAATTTCAAATTTTACTGAATTTAAGTGTCTCTGAATCTGCTGATTGTCACAAGCTGCCTATTGCAATGCCATAGGAGCAGCTATCTTTATCAACAGAACAGTGAATCTTGTGAACATTTGTTTATGCCAGATTTTACAGTACAGAACTTCCCCCAAATTGTGTGCATACTGTACAGTATGTAATGCTGTAATTATGTATTCTTACTGGCAGCCCATCTGCCCTGTTGGCTGGGCACACCCAGTGAAAATTAGCTACATACAATGTTTCCAGATTTTGGTCTGATCAATGTAGCTTTGTAACATAGGCAGTATGTTTGTCTTTCTTTTCCAGTGCTCGATGAAACCTCTATTTCATGATCAATTATTTGCCTGACTGCCAAGTCACACATACTGTCTTTGGACACTCTATACTTGAATATGCCAGGTTTTAAGTCCAGCCATTCGTGTTTTCCAAGTACACAGCTATTTCCATTTGAAAAACTGAAGTTCTACTTAATCTCAGTACTTGGACAGTGTTGTTCCTCTGATTTGAAATGCAAAACAAATCAAATTCTGCAGCCTTATTTTAGCCATTGCAAAGAACTTCTGAAAAGAAAGTGCTGCTTTAGCTGTTACTCAGAAACTGACAGTAGCCTTAACAGAGTAGTGGGTGGTTAAGAGAACTGAAAATAAAGTTGAACTAACAGTCTTTCTCCTTTTTCATCACTGTCTTGCCAGATTAAACTTCATGCTGCAGACTCACATTGGAGTACACTCCAGAATCCAGAATGTAACAGACTGAAATGTTGGCAGGATGCACATCTGTTTGGCTTGGCCTTAACTGCCTGTTCCAGTTTAAGGAACTGGCAAAGCTTCTCAGTTCTCTTTTTCTCTGCTCTTTTCCTTGCACTTGTTAATGGCTTGCTGGCAAACGGGCAGGAAATATTAACTGAATTTGCAAAAGCTACTTCAGCAAGATGTTAAATTAAATTAAGGTGATGCTAATGGCTTTAACCTCATGACACTACATAGTTGACTCTTTGACCCTAATCTGTTTAGCTAAATTTAACAATGAATGTGCTATAAAATTCTCATTTGCAAGCTCTGAAATGCATTTCGCACTTAAAATTGTTCCAGAAACATTATTTTAATTGACGTAAAAGAAGGATAAAAGATTTCAGCTGTCTGGGTTTTTGTGAATGACTCTAAGGCTGACTTCTAAGATTTCACTTGTCCAAAAAGTTTTGCTCAAGGAAGTGAGGGCAAGAGGTGAATGTAGCCCTGTATATTTGCTAAGGGCATAACCTAATACTTCACTTAAATTCTTTACACTGGAGTAGTTGATAGTGTGTTGTCATAAATGTGACAAGATTATGCTCTCAGAGCTGTAAGGTACTTGCTATAAATGGCAGTCTGTAACCTTGGTTATTCTGCAGCCTTTCTGAAGTGTTCAAGGATTTGGTACTGGCATCCCTTTAGAAATAAAAAGCAGCAAAATTTAAAACAGCCTCCTGCTAGATATGTGTTAGGGAAACTTGCAGGGTAATGTTCTTTGAGCACTCCCTTGGAATCAATAATGAAGGGATTCATAAGAATGAACTTGTTGGATATAGGCCATAAAAACTTGTGAGCAGGTTTTTATGTAAATTGTAGTCGTGGGAAATGTCTGAACTTGAACAAGCTGAGTTTTGTAGCAAAAGCACAAAGGCAAAAGGCCTCAAGGATTTTTTTATGTTGCACTTAGTAACTAGCATTGAAATTCTTGGTCTCAAGCCATGTGATGCCAGTAGGCTTCCAGATCTCTGCTAAGGACTTGACTGGTAACAAATAATTAAGTGTGATACATCATAATTTGTTTTGCCAAACTTCACTGTTCATGCGGGCAAAAGGTGTTTGTAGGCAGAAATAGGATTAGAGTTCTTATTTTTAACATTTGTGAAAATATGGTTAAATTTCTGGCATGATAATGTATATGTACGTGTATTTGAAATTTACTCTTGTATTTTTGCTAGAACAGCTGCACAGGGCAAATGCTATTAACTTTTTTCTAAATCTGTCTCCTTCTAGGCAGTTGTGTAGTCCCTCTAGGTAGGACCTGACAGGCAGCTATGTAGGCAACGAGTTGGCAGTGCATGCAGCATGTCTGGGGATATCTTTGGGAGCCCTGCAGGGCTGCAGGAAGCCTGCAGGACATGTCCTTCTGTCGTACAAAGGATTAAGCTGGGTCCAACAGATAATGTGTGGCATTTGAATTTCAGGATATTTCATCTGTGTCCAGAAAACATTGTCTGTTTAGAGTTGTTGTGACTTGTAAAATAGTCTAGGTTTTGATTTGTTAATCTTAAGTGCCCTTAAATCAAACATGGCATTTTGTTGCTGAAGAATTCTATGAACTATTAGACAAGACTTAGGTTTTTCCTGTTTGAATAATTTCACTGAAAAATGTTATTTCCTTCTGCAGTATTTATATCATGGGATTGGTACTGGAATGGATAAAGAATAATGGTGGAGCTGCAGCTATGGATAAACTTAGTTTAATCAAGTCACGGATGATTTATGATATTATAGACAAATCTAATGGATTTTATGCGTAAGTTGCAATGCTTTTCTCCTTTGTTCAATATTTGCTACATAGCCAAACTTTCATAACTTTTGAGAGTTTAATTGTGTTTTTGAAGTCACCTTTTTTGAGGACTTCTAGAGATACTATTTGTGCAAACCATTTACTTGGTAAGTGTCCAAGGTTAAGTATCATTCCAGTAGGAAGTTATTTCAGCTTACCTTGTGTGGATCAGTAGTGAACACTACAAAAAACGTATTCTAAAATTAATGAAATGGGGACATGGGAGAAGAATATACAAGAAATAGATACTCAGATTCTGGTTTGTATGCGTACTGAATCTCTTGGGGAAATATAGGCCAAAACAAAGAAAAATTGCATGTAAGAAATTGTAGAGACACCTTTGCATTCTATTTCCCCAACCGCCTTTCAGGATTCAAAGACTCTGCTTTTTCTCTGTCAAGCAGAGCATTTTATTAGCTAATTATGCTAAGTTCTGAAACACTTCCTGAAATAAAATAGAAAGATCAGACCTCAAAGTGGAATACATTTCCTGTATGTACTTCATGCACAGTTTATTTTCTTCAGTTATTTTTGCTGCCTTTCCAAAGCAGTTTTAACACTCTTGACTTCTACATAGAATTGCAAGGTATTTTTGAGCTCACAGGACCTATGCATAGCTAAAACCTGATTCTGTAATAATTATAATATTTGCCAAGCTCAGACTACTAATTGACCATGAAACAAAATACTTTCCTTCACCTTCAGTGTAAAAGCAACAGTGCAGGGACCTAATTTATCTTCAAGTCAAAGTTAAGATAGAGCAAATTAAATTTGGATTTTAAATTAAAGCTGTCTGCAATCATAATTGGTAGGGATAAAGTTTCATCATAATATTTAATACATTCTTCTTATCCATTTAGTTAATGAGAACAGCTTTGCCTTTAGTATCATCATGATCAGGATTGTGATCCTACTCCAGGGAAATCCTGGGGGTTTTTCATAAACGTCAGAAAGCAAATGAAGCCTTGAAAAAAACATTTTGTGACAAACAAAAATCTATATCTGGCAAGCTGGTCTGTAAGGCAGTGAGTGGGAAATGCAATGCAAATTGGATGGTAAATAGTCAGTTGGGAAAGCAGAACAAGCTTCACTAACTGAGCTGTATGCAGCTTCCTAAGCAATACAGTTAAGACTGTGAATTTTTTAATTGTATCTATAACTAAAAGGAAGACTTAATTTGAAGCTGCCTTCCCAGCTGTAACGTGGCACTTAATCTGTGGCATGCTTCCCTGAGTAAGCCATGTGACAAGCCATTTAGCAAATGGAGCCTTTCTTCCATGAAGTGCTCTGTGCCATTTGTAGTTTGTTTTTCAACGTCTGTGCACTGAGTGCACCACTAGCATTAGTAGCAGCTGGATATTCTAAAAACTAAAGCATGGCTGCAGTAATTCAGATATGGGAGTGCTTAGAAGCATAGGCCTTTTTGAACATTATTTTCCTGGTTGGACCTGAGGTAGAAGATTTGTACAGGCAGGTTTTATGGATCTTTTTTTCTTTTCATCATGGAGACCTCTGGACAAAAGAACAAGAGAGGAATTAAAAGGAATGGTACTCATTCTTTTCCAAATAGTGTAATAATAGGTATGAAATTAACATGCAGTTTATGAAAACTCATTTCTATTGAATGCCTGCAAGAATCTACATCACAGCCTTAGAAAAAAATAAATCTGAAGGCTTCATATCTTCATTATAACTAGAAACACTAAAAAAAAAGATATTTAAATCTTCTCTTCCTCCCCTATAATTTCTTACCTTCATAAAATTGTTGAAGAGAAATTATACATGTCTTCAGTTTTCCACTTTGGATTAAATGGGATTTTAGGATATTAAGGAACTGTGATGCATCTCATGTAATGTTGTGGCCATGTATGCAGTGAAATATTTGTTCTAGACTACCTCTTCTCTACTTCATGATTCCAAGTAATGCTCATTTAGAAGATGGTCTGAAATCACTGGCAGAAGTTTCTAATGTCTATGAAAATTTATTTATGCTGCATTCTTATACTTCCTTTAGTTCTGTTTAGCTGAGTGTAATTCTGGTAGCACTTTTGACTAGTTGAGAAGCGTCAGTCTTTGAAGAGGAAGAGAAGAAACTGCTTTAGACTTAGTTAAAATTCCTCACCTATCCTAAGTAACTACTTTATTTATTTTTTTTTTCTTTTATTTTTTCTTTTTTTTCCTTTAATTTGGTCTGTATACAGGCCTCATGTTCATTTCTCTGGCACAATTTTGAGTATGTCCAGAAGGGTTAATAAGCCTTCCACTTTACCACTTCCATTATTATACTTGGTTAAAAAAGGAAGGTTGCTATCTTTCACAGAAAGTAATGACAATTTCAGTTATAAAGGATTGACTTTGGTTCTAAACAGGTGTGATTATTTACTTGCTCAAACTGCAAATAGCTGAAATATAAATTAAGCACAAAGTGGATTAAGCATTATATTCTGCAACCTTTTTAGATGTCCAGTGGAGAGAAAGAACCGAAGCAGAATGAATGTACCTTTCCGCATTGGCAGTGTCAAGGGCGATGAAGCCCTGGAAAAGAAATTTCTTGAGAAGGCTGTGGAACTTAACATGATATCTCTGAAAGGACATCGGTAAGTATTAGTCAAGTGAAATCTCTGTCCTGTGCAGGATAAACTATTACTGCAGTGGTACAGCATCAGGCATTGTGCATTGACTTGCCAGCCTTTCTTACGCATAAGCTGTTCCACATACTGGTTTGGCAACACTTGAGAATAGCAGTCTAGAGATTGTAATCAGAGATTGCTGGTGGCTCAGCAATCTGCTTAGGTGAAGTGGTGGGCTTCACAGAGCTTTATCCTTAATTCTGCTTTCTCCTGCAAATCTGTCTCTTTGCAGATGCCAAAGAAGATATCTTTTGAGGTCAGATTGTATCAGTGTGTAAAGCCTCTCAGGTTGCTTGTCTACCTGGTTGCAAGAGTTCTTTCCCATGTTCAGTAGTGTTTGTGGGATAAGTTTTTTTGATATCATTGGGCTACAGCTTTGGAGCTGCAAATAACTAATAAATACTAAGCTTCTCTAGATTGCAAGCCTGCCTTGAAGAATTAAATATTGCTTCTCATGCACATAGATGTAAATTTTTATCATTTTGGAGTAGGTATAGATTTAACTATCTCTGACTTCTACTAATGTCTTTTTTAGAACATACAAAACTTGCCTGGTTTTTTTTTTTTCCCCCTCTCCTATTTTCAATTCAGGTCTGTGGGAGGAATCCGTGCCTCTTTATATAATGCGGTGACTGTAGAAGATGTTCAGAAGCTTGCAACATTCATGAGAAGCTTCATGCAGATGCATCAGTCATAAATGCCCATGGGTTGGAGCCATGCTGCACATCCATGAAATTAAAGCTAAAGGGTTTTAACATTACTGTGGTACTGTACAGCTGTAGCGCACAAGTTTTATTTTCTTTTAGTACCTGTAGTAATTTCAATTAACTGAATGGGACAGAGGCTCAGTCTTGCAATGATGTGGCAACTTTGGCTTTGCTGAAGGTGAGGATCCCCAGACTGATCATGATTGATAGGAAAATTTGAAAATGTGTGGTTAAAACATGAATAACATTGTAAGGTGCTATGGATCTGAGTCTGTTTCTCACCTCTATTTACAAATGACTTCAACAATGCCTCCTTTTTAGTAAAATTCAGAAAGCATTATTTGTCATAAGCTCTCTGTAATGCTTTACAAATACTCTGTGGGTGCACAATGAAGGTAAACTAGCACAGTCTCTAGGGACATCTAGTTGGTTTATGGGGTATCTTCCAGCAGTGTGCCACCAGTAGTATTGAAAAGTTAACATCAGCATTCCTAACTTGAGGATCTGGCCTTCAGACTACTGCTCCAATACTAGAAGTACTATCATAACCATTGCAAGTAATTGTGAATAAAGTCTGCAGGACTGGGCTTTTCTTCCTATCAACATTTATTACTTTAAAGCTAAGATTAATGAGTCTGACTAAATCAATTTCTAAGATGTTTTTTATTTCCCTATGCATTTTGTATATTAAACTCCTAGTTTATTAATGTTATATTCTTATTTTGGAGCATGCATATTTGCTGCTGCAAGAAATCTGCTTTTCATTTCTTAACGTTGTGCCAGACTGGATTGCTGTATTACACTCAATGGGCCTGTGACTTTCTCTGCACTGACTTTGAGCCCGAAGTGCAGCGGACTTCTTTGTCTGGTGTTCTTAAGTGGTTTCCATGTCTACTTGCCCCAGTATTTGTTCTAACTTTTCATTCTTTCAGTTCTGTAGCCTTTTATATGTGGAACTTTGTCCAGCTGGAGTAAATAATAATCTTCTCTGTCTTTTGCTGATGCTATAGTGTACTTTTGGTCCCACTTTCTCACTTGGTCCTTCTAGCTTATTGCAGACTTTGGAGTACTCTGGGCTAGAGAGGTCACTCATTATGCAAAGATTTTCAGAAGATCCCCTGTTAAAGAACCCTTGAGTTACTTTTTTTTCTCAGCTTGTGACTTTACTGCAAATGCCCATATGTTGACCTTAATCTCCTATTTTAACTTGTGTAGAAGCTATCTGCTACTGTCAGGGTGCTTAGCATTACTACAGCTGGTTTCAGACTAAACTCTTTGGCACACAATGGGGATTTCTTTTTATTTTTAATTTTTGTGTAATGTCAGTATAGTGGTAACAATTTATTAATGATAATGATGTACTGTCCCTTTGTTGATAGAACCTCAGAGCAAGTCAGTGGAATGTTCTAGAGTTAAGTTACATTCCTATCTGAAAAGTCATCATTTTAAGACTGCTGTTTGGAGATTTTTGTCAACTTAGTGTAACTCAAAGTAAGTAAATTACGCAAAAAAATAAAATTTAATCATGTCATGATGTAACATGCCATTGTGTCTGAAACTTATTGATTTTGTCACTTTCAGGATGAAAATCAAGACTAATGTGTGTTAGAATTTTAGATTCTGGTATACTCCTTTTCCCTAAAAAGCAAGCTTCCCTCATGGATGTTTTATTTCTTTCCAAGAAGAGTCTTTCCAATAGAAGCCATGGAAACAAAACTACTATTATGAATGCTTAAAGAACCCTTTTTGCCATGCCAAATATGAATATCTGATTTGGATTCCATATTAAGCTTTTTAACTTTTTAAATTTATTTTTCTGAGTTTTGTGTACTTGCTTTCAGCTGTAGCTCTGGCTTATCGCTTTCCAAAAAATAGCCAACCTTTCTATTTTATAATAGACTTGCATTCTCTTAGCAAGCATGCTTTTTTGTGTGTTTACAAAAACCCTTGCACTGATTTGTGCAGCTGATTCATGAGTCCAACAAGGAACCTCTTGCTGGTTCTGAATTGTGCCTAGCATCTTGTCAATTTTTTTTTAACACAGTAAGGCGTTAAAATTATGTCAAATTACAATACAAAGTGACAACTGCATTAAGCAGACAGCGGTTGACTGAATATCAAGTGAGGGGCATACAGGAATACTGGGAACACAGAAGCATGTCCTGAATGAATTATTTACTTGAGGTTTCTTTCAGACTAATTCATGAAGCAATTCTACCCTTCCAAGCTGTTTGTCTGTACTTGGGTTTTGAGCCCTCATGGATAGCGAAATCCTGATTCCCCCATATCAGACTGGTAGAAGGAATTTTAGGACCTGTTGCTGAGACTCCTGGTCTTTTTTTCTCATCAGCACTTACAAGCTGGGTCAGTAATTTCAGTGTTTGGCAGCAGGGCTCTTTTGGTATGATATGAATACTCCAGAGACATTGAAAGGTGTTAAAATACTGGTTTCACCTGAAAGAGAGGGAATTATGAGTTCTTTTCACTTCTTTCAGTCTTTCAATTTTTTTTCTAGTGAATCATCTCCCAGCTCTTGTGTTTGATTTCACAAAAGCACATTCTAGCATTCTCCTTTGTAGTATAGAAATCTCTGGCCAGTGTCTTTCCCAGACCTAGCCTAAAAAGAGAAAGCTGGTGAGAATGCTACATGCTCCCACTGTTTCTGCTGTGTGCAGTGAGGGATGCTTTAGTCCAGGTGCCACCTATCCTTCAGGGAGGTACCAGATCCCAGAGATTCCTCTGAGTTGTCTATGATAAGAACTTCCTTATGACAACTCCATTTTCTGTAAGCCAAGCAAGAATTAAATAAGAATTGGAAGTCTGGGTTGCCACATCCTTATTTAACTAGTAATTCTAGTGGAGAGAAATTATTCATACAGGCAGCAGTGTGGGGAGTCCTGCTCTTGTGTCAGCTAATGCTCTATATTTTCATATGTTTCCCTGTTTCTGTTCAAATTAATCCCAGTTTTTTCTTTCCAACTCTTAACTGGCTCAATATTTTTTGGTACAGCCAGGGATGCTTGGATAAAAAGATTGAGCCTATTCCTGACATTCAAGTAAGTGTTTGGAATGAAGCAGGAATAAAAGACATCATGTACTGATGTATTAGTAGTTGCAAAGTTATGCTGAAGGTTTTACAAGGTCTGGCACTATATTGATGTATGCTTAATTTTCACCATATTTCATTCTCTGGGTAGAAAATAAAATGAGGATGAACCTTTTTGTACTTAATAATTATATACCTAATTAAAAAGTGAAATGTTGCAAGGTTTTACAATAAATCAGTCCATTTAATTGGAAAGACGATTCCCCATTCCAGTCAGCAACTGGACTTTTGATAATTCAGAACCAGAATTCATGAAAATCTGTGATAAATGCCACCCTTTTAGGCTAAAGAAACAAAGAAGTTTCAATTACCAATGGATTACTGAATGTTTCGAGGAGCGTTATCAAAGAGAGGCAAGGATAGATTTATTTTTTTGTAAGTAGATAAAGAATAAATATATATTTAATGTAAGAAACCCAAAAGCTGTACAGTTTCTGAAATCCGAGAAATTTGGAATTCTATCTCCTACCTTTACACTATGCCAGAAAGGCAAAAATTGTATATTTTGGTAAATGGATTAATTAAAAAAGTGATGTAAAGAAAGCATGTGAGAAAGTGGAATTTGCTGAACTATTATATTGTTTTAATATATATATATATATATTATTATAAGAGAAATTGCCATTAAACTGCTTAGAATTTTTACTATAATGAACCAATCTGGGTATGATTCTATGTTGTAGTTCCATGATGTAATCTGAAGAGATTTGAGAGATGTATTTCTAAAACTAGGGATGGTAGTAACAAACTCTTTACTGTAAAACTTAGTAAATATTCTTCCATAGTGTAAGTAGTAGTCTTTGGAATTGAAACAACTGTATGGAAGTTTCAAACTCTGGTGCTAGGTTTTGAAGCTTGGAAAACCAGACTTAAAGAATTATAAAAGCTGGAAAACTTCTGGGCTGGTAGTGACCTGTCAGTACGGAGTCACACTGGCTTATGGCTTTTCTTTCCAGGGCAGCCTCAGTCATGCTGCTCTTGGGCACATTTTTATTGTGAAGAACACCTCTGGCCTTAGCATTAGACATGTGAATGCTTGATCATTCTGTTAATGTTAATCACTGTGTTGTGATTGTGATTTGCCTTATGTCACAGTACTGAGCTGTATTGTCAGGTCTAGTCTCTCAGTACTGAAATAGAAGGTTTTGTCTGTGGAGGTATTTTACTAAGCCACCCAAATGGTATCTCTTCCAGTTTGGTACCTCATGGAAGCTTGTCCTAAATCTATCTGGTGATGTGAAGTAGTTTGGTGCAAGACAGGTCATTGCTATGGTGCTGTGAGGTGTCCTCAGGTGTGGCAGGAGAAAGCTCTGGTGTCAGTGTCTACCACCCTATGTGCTCTGTGACTTCTGAAGGAAGCATTGGACCAAGTTAGTATTGAGGTATGAGCAAGGTAAATCTGAGTGACAGCTGGTGAATAGGAGAATATATTGCAAGGTTTAGAGTTAGCTTGTGTAAATTTAAAGGAGAGGAATAGAAACAGAAGAAAAACATTAAGAATATGGTAAAACATTAAGTTGTTATTTTAATAGGTTTATTTAATAGGTACACCTATTGGTGTACCAGTTAGAACCACTTTGAAGAGGTGGCCCTCTGCCTTGCTTCCTTACCCTCTTTACTTCCTCTTTATTTCCAGGAGGAATACTGCTTATTTTGTGGCTCTATCACTGCTATCACCATAAGGGCTGTAGCAAAAACCTGGCTAGGCTGGGAAGCAATGCAGAACTGACGTATGTCAGTTAAATGTCAGGACTGAGCTACACTCTCACTTCCCCTGCACACCCACACAATGTACCCGCAATGTATAATTTACTTGATCCGTATTGTAGCGATAGCTGCAGATGAAAAAATTCTCTATTCAATTACTTCTTTACATCTCTGTTACAATCTGTTACAATAGAAGCAGTCCCATTGTGTTCCAGATGCCCACCAGCAGTAGTTTTAATTACATCGTTCCTCTGAAATCAGATTGCTTGTTTGACAGCACTAGTCAGAATCTTTAACTGGCAGTAGAGTGTACATTTCAGTAAGTGAAAAATAATGCACTGTATTACCACCAAACCTTTAGTTTTTTAATGCAAAATTCACACATTTTTATGTGTAAAGTAAGCCAGAATATTACTTCTATCCCTACTACATTTGACACAAAGACAACCACATCCGGAATGCTGATGGTAGCTCTCTGCCAAGCTTTGATTGGTTTGACATCTCACTGCTGGTTGGTAGATGCTCTGAACTGCACCTGAATGAAAAAAACCCAAAATTTTGCGCTTGTGGCCCAGAAGGCCAGTGGTATCCTGGGTGCACAAGGAAGAGCACTGCCAGCAGGTCAAGGGAGATCATCCTGCTCTTCTGTTCAACCCTGGTGAGACACATTTGGAGTGCTTGTCTACTTTTAAGCCTGTCAGCACAAAAAGGACATGGAGCTGCTGGAGCAAGTTCAGTGGATGGCAACAAGGTGATGAGGGGACTGGATCATTCCTCTTATGAGGAAAGGTTGAGTGAGCGGGGCCTGTTCAGCCCAGAGGAGAGATGACTGAAAGGGGTCCTGATCAATGTCAGTAAATACCTGGTGGGAGGGCATCAAGAGGAAGGATCCAGGCTCTGCTCAGTGGTGCTGAGCAGTAGGACAAGAGGCAATGGGCACAGATGGATGCACAGGACCTCCCATTTGAATACAAAGAAGAACTTGACTAAGCACTGGGACAGACTGTGCAGAGAGGCTGTGGGGTCTCCTTCACTGGGAAAATTCAAGAATTGTCTGAATGCAATTCTGTGCTTTGTGCTCTAGGATGACCCTGTTTGAGCAGGAAGGTTGAAACCTACCATAGTGCCTTCCAACCATATCCATTCAGTGAGACACATTCCAAAAACCAAACACAGATCTTTTATATTTTAAAAGATACTATGTATAGGTGAATATTAGATGCCCTTGTTTTATGAAATTTTGTGTTCTGATTGTGTTGATTCCCATGATTTTATATATACCTTTAAATGTGACTTATTAATCCAATATGGAAATAGGTCCACGGTTATTCCATTGACACTGTTTTGGGGAGACCTTACCGTGGTCTTTCAGTTACAAGGGAGATTATAAGAAATATAGAACAAGACTTTTATAAGGATTTGTACTTAGAGGACAAGGGGATAACTGTTTTAAACTTTAAACTGAAAATGTTTGGTTTAGATAGGACATAAGGAAGAATTTTTTTTATGATGAGGGTGATGAGGCACAAGAGCAGGCTGTTGAGAGAAGCTGTGGATGTCCCATCCCTGGAAGTGTTCAAGGCCAGTTTTGATGGAGCTCTGAGCAAGCTATTCTAGTGGGAGGAGTCCCTACCCACAGCAGGGGAGTTGGAAAAGATTATCTTTGAAGGCCCCTTACAACACAAACTACTCTGTGATGAAGCAAGCATCTTATTTTGGAGAAATGCTAGTGTAAGTCTTAGTTCAAGATTTGTACCACCATCAGTGTGACACCTTGCAAAATGATGGAACTTTGTGTGACAATCAATGCTCAGAACAGGAGAAATGAATAGGGGCAGTTCACAGCATAGAACTGCCATGGCTCTGCAATACTGAAATAACACCTTCAAATATTGAGCCAAAATCCTGTTGAGCATTGCTAAACCCTTACTGAAGGAAAATGAACGGCAGTGGAAGACTATCTACTGTCTGACAATCTACTGTTGTGCCCAGTATATTTGCTTCCAGTTCTTACTTTCCTAAAAACTTTGTTTATACAATTCACTTAAGATTCTTAAGATTTTTAAAATTTTCAAGTTTTTCTACAATCTCATTCCTGGTTGTAGAAAATACAGTTTATTATATTAAGAATGGTCATTACTTAGGTCATAAGGAATTTACTTAAAGGATCAGATGTCTGGGGATGTAATATGAAGCAGCACACACTGTGTGGCTCTCCCCATGTCTGTGAAAGGAAGGATACTTTGCAAAAAGGCATCTTTTAAAGCAGTTTATTTCTGGAATAAGGCTGAACCAGCAGTAGACTGAAAGGGTATATCTGTAGAATAACAAAACTGTATTCACAGAGGAAGATGCTGGAAAGACAGCCTAAACAATCTGGAGTGTTTATGATGTCTTTCTAGCATCTGTCTACTCATTATCTTCTGTGTTAACCTCCAGAGAATGTGAACGGCTCCTTGTAATGTCTTTTACACACAAAGAATAACCTTGTATATCAGTCTGATCTCAGTCAGATTAAACCAAAGAAACAGGCTAACCATTTAGAAAATGTGAAAGGTTGTGAAAGTTCTCTGTCCTAGGAGAAACTGATGGGAAAGATCCATAAGAGCAGAAGGGGGTCAGTGATTTACAGTATCGTGCTTCTCCTTGCTCTCTGCTGAAGTGTTTGCAAATACTCTGTGTGTCTGACTATTCAAAGTGGATGGAGCCCTACTCATAAGTATAAAGCAAATGGTCAGGGTTTAGGAGTGAGTGAATTTTGAAAATTCAGTTCCAGACAAGGTCATAAAAAGTCATAAAATGCACATTTCAAGGCCTAACAAATGTACATGTCGCAGAACAAATTGTAGTTCAGGTTGGGAAGAAATCTGTTTTGTGGACAATTAATAGCTTAGCCCAATTAAGTTCTGTGTAGAGCAGAGGTCCAAGAATACCAAAGAGAGTTCTTAAGTTGCATGAGAGTGAACTGTCACATGAGCAGTATTCCACTTGGATAAGGGCATCACCAGAGATGGCCTCAGCTCTGATGTGACTTGCAAGCCCTAAATATCTTGTGTCAGTTAACCAGTCTGGCTCACAAATGGGGAAGATTCCAATCACCACAGGCAACTGGGAGACAAGTTGCTGTACATCCCTGAGAAATCATGACCTCCTGGTACTGCAGCATGGGATTGGGAAAGAGAAATTTATTTCATTTAAGTATTTATTTAAAGGGCAGTGAATTGGTTCTTACATGTCTGACTGATTACATTTGGATTATCTTTAGGCTGTTTTACAGAATAAATTAATCTAGCAACCCACCTCAGAAACCTGTGATATAAGGGAGCTTAGGAGCTGAAATGTCCCAGACTGCTGAGTGTGGGGGTTACTTTGAGTTTATTCTTAGAGTGATGCTGACCTTATGATTTTTTTTTTTTTTAATCTGTAAGGGGTATTATGTTGTATAAAATGAAGTCTCAAAAATTCCAGTCCCATATTAATTTACTGCAGTACTCTTAAAAGCTCAGTTCTAGAAAGTGGTGATTATTCTCTGAAAAGAATATAATTACTGTTAAAATGTAGGATAAAATAATTTTATGACCTTCATTCCATTACTTATTCTCATTTAAATGATTTGGATTACTTCTATTCTACATTTCTGTTAAAGAGAACCGATACCAGATTGTTAGTTTTGGCAAGAAAATGTGAAGCTCTAGGGGAGAAGCCAGAGACCTCACTGGCAGTGGGCCTTCGTATGTCCTACTCCAGACATATTCTGAGTTATGGCACTTATTGAATCTCTTTCCCCATTCACAGCTTCAGTCAGGCAGGTTAGCTGGCTGATGGTGATGTGCTACTGATTACAGTATAACGCAGGATACTTTGCAATTCATCACAGAGATAACAAAGCTCCCAAAAACCTTGCAGCTGCTCTCAATACTGCTGCTGCCACGTTTGGTTCAACTGAGTGGAATAATGAGGATTAATAGAGGGAGAGCAACACAATCATAATTTGGTTGGCCACACACTATGTCCCATGCTAGGGTAAAGAAGAAGTAATTTCCATTGGTTGAGGGACAAGAAGCATAAAACACACTATAAATTACAGCTGTGCTGCCTATGACAAAATATGGTGCAGTCTTTTATTATCTTACTACGAAAAACATTATTCAATAACAGGTATTTAAGACACAAGTATTTAGGATTCACACTTGAGACAACATTCTGAAGATAAGGGATTCAGAAACTGAGCTGGAAATAGTAGCAAAGATGAGGGGAATTGTTCAGCTCTTTCTGAATTCCAGGAAGAAAGCAGATCTGTTGGCAGTAAGAAAGCAGAGATGACCAGTGTTACTTAACTGGCAAATTCTCATATTCTGGTGCAGGAGATTTAAAAGTCCTTACACTGAAGTAAGCTCAAGCTCCTCCCCAAACTTGGGCATGCTTTGAATTTTTCAGAAACCACATTGGTGGCTTATGCCCCCAGAGAGTCTGCCCTTTGCAGGGAGATAGATCTAAATGGTGTAGGAGATATAAGGCTCCATGGCTGCAGTGTGGGGACATGGAGACGGATGAAGTGAAAAAACGAAGGAATGAGTGCGGTGGGTGAGAAGTCATGGCTAGGGTACCAGTGCTGGCAAATTCCTCATGGCTGCTGGTTGTTCAGCCAGGTGTTCACAAATTCAGTGCTCTTGGAAAGGTGCTGCTTTAAAGGCCAAAAATTTAGGTGTGTTTCTTCACAGAGCTTTATTAAGACAGGGGAATCTGCCATCAGTCAAGGGGTGAGAAACAGACAGGCTCCAGCCACATGCTTCCAACCAGCCCCTCCATGGTTCAGGTAGCAGCGAGCTGAGGGTCCTGTAAAAAAACTGCTCTCCAGAAGTCTGTGGCCCTGCATCCTGGTGGCACTTTAGGCAGGAGCTGTGGAGCAAATGACCTGATTATTCTCTTGATGATGCATGCATTTTTTTTCTTTTGTTTTCTTAATTATTTCCTAATCTGTTACAACTGGGCATAAACTGACCAAAGGACAGATAGCTCAGCTTGGCAGCTGAAGGCCTCTTATGGCTGTAGCTGCTGTTTTGTGGAGAAGTGGATGCATCTCTGTGTTCTGTGATTGCCCATCTTTTGCGTTCTTCCCTTGGACAATAATTGAGAATATGCCACTAAATCACCCAAAGTCTTGAGACTAAGCATATGGTCATTGATGTAAGATATCTGCAAACATTTCTGCGAAACAAAGCTCTAGACAAGGCTGTGTATTTTATTGGATCCACTGAAAGTTATTTCAGTTCCTTCTTCATAACAGATAGTAACAGCCTGCACTGTGGTTACATGCAGCTGCACCACTGTTCTCACTCTAAGGGGAGTGTGTAACGCTCCAGATCTGATTTTCCTGAGGTAATGTTGAGTACTGCTGGAAGTGTAACTGTGTGAATGATAATAGACTTTATTGACATGTTATTAATAGTGATGTAGATCTTTCTGATGCAGCATATTTTCCAATATGCTGCATAATAACAGTTCAGTTTTCTAAAATACTGTTTAAAAACTTAGCTCTAGCACCAAATGAGTTAGTTCAGGGGGATTCTTTAATTGGTCTTTAATGAAGTGTTTAGTGATAGAAAGTAAAGGCTGTCTGCTACACAGTTATACTATGTTTCTGTTAATAGTCCATTAGACCATACTTTGTAATATCTTACCACACATATCCGGAATAAGTGGATATGAACGGAATTTTTATGACTATGGGAACTCCAAACCAGTTATCTTCTCATCCAACATATGGTAGCTATGAGGCTGAGAGATCAGAATAACCTGTTTTGATTTTGTTTCACTGTAAAAATAATGGTTTCATTGACAGATATGCGTAATCATGCAGTATAAGACTTGTGACACGTTTGTCTTTCTAAAACTTATCAGCAGAGCTACAGGCCTCCAAGTTTTCCATAATTCCAGTCTATTGTGTTCCAGACTAGAGGAGGGAGCTCAAGTACCAGAGCATGTAGAAATGATCTGTTCTAGGGGTTATCTCCTCATAAAGAGACCAACCTCAGGTTATCCTTCTCCTGTTTTCCCTCAGCCTCAGGTTACCCATCTCCTGTTTTGCAGGTTTGTGCAGTGAGACAAATATCAGATTGCCTGCATTGCAGGTGCATGGAGTGCTGGGACATTTTTTGTGAGTAGGGCAGACATAAGATGGGGCTGAACAAGTGTTATGCTCAGACTGTGGGATCTGAAAAAATCAGGGTGCAGTTTTGTACTAAGGGATGCTCTGCAAAGTGCTGTCTTTGTATCATGCTTCTTCCCATGTTAGGCTCTAATTTCCAAGTCCTCTGATTGTCTACTTGTCATTCAGAGAAGGCATTCAGGATTTAGGTTGAAATATAGATTGAGAATCTTTAGATGGACATGTTGGAGTGGAAATGCTGAACTGGCCATTCCATCACTGTCATAAGGCTCTGATTTGGC